TGCACCCCTGAATACTGAACTACCTATTCATATGTTTTGCAGGGGGATGTGTCGGCCTATATATGATTTTAAGAGAGCAAACTAACCAGAAAACGAAGACACTGCAGACAGATCTCAAACTGTGACCTTACGTCGGGCTACTTCATTCAGCAGCATTACCATCGGGCAGAGTTATTTGTGCTTGTCTTTGGCAAAATAAAACAGACATACTAGTATATGTATGTACACATGTGAATCCTCCAGTGTCCGTGCCCATTCGAATGGTCCTTTTTTTGGCTGAATGGTACCAAGACAATGCGCGTGGCGCAGCACTGCATCTGTCTCTGCAATGGAAGAGCAGTCCCTCGCTTGCAGAGATTCGCACGAAGAGAATCGAATTTATCGTGAACAAACGCCACTCGTCATCACAGAGACATTGTTTGAAATAAACATAGCTACATCGTGCACAGATCAATTTTGCATGTTTTCTTGCCAGCTTTAGAAACGAACATTTTCTAGTGAGGTGAGGTGACAACCTCCATCGATACGGGATAACCTCTAATGAAAACACTGTGAGTCTATGTGCTCACCAAAGCAAACATGAATCCAAACAAGAACCCAGTAGAAAACAAACATTCAAACAAAAAAACTACCGTATAAGACGTGAGTCTATAAAGGACGGAGATAAGCATGCTCATACTAGGCTTTATACAAACTGTGGCGCTTACCTCTTGGCCACCTGCGTCTTTCAAACCCCAGGTTTTGCAAAACACGTCCAAGTTACTCTCGTTGAAAAAAAAAAAAGATTAATAGCGATTTTGTGAGGGGCAGTATTAACGGGAGCTGCGTCTGGTTGTGCAGTCTTCGAGCTCCCTCCGTTTTCTAGTCACGCACACCTGAGCCTGCCTCTCTCCCTCTCAGCCCTCGCGTCTCCCTCTGAGCCCAGTTCAAACACTTTTCGGTGGTGCGTTGAACGAGCACGATGCGCCCCCTCAAGTCCACGATCTCCGCACTAAAATCATCTATGTACTTTAACTGCCCAACTTATATATTGGAACTGGGGACATGTTTTTTTGTTTGGTTGTTTTTTGTTTTTGTTTTTTTGTTTGTTTGTTTTGTTTTTTAAGACCTCAATTTGGAGAAAAAAAAAAAAAAAAAAAAAAACAAGAAACAAGAATCAGTTCAAAAAGCAAAGTGTGTCATTTTTATTCGTACCTTATTTATAGGAGACTCTATTTAGAAAAATCTAAAATACTTCCAGGTTGTAATTATGACGGTGAATTCGGCTACTTTATTCGGGCATTAACCAACAACATGGTGCCACAAAAGAGCAGCAAGTACAAATTTAACTACCACGCTAATGACGACTTTACGTTGGTTTGTTGCTTTGCATAGGTCTTTAAAACAAAGCATAAACAAACATTTATTAAAAGAGAGCTACATACAGTATGTGCGTATTTTAAAGAGATCTTGAGCGTGTGTAATGGTCTCTGAAGACAGTGATCACAAGGGTGACACAGTGGCTCCAGATAATGATGCAATGGAGCAGATCAATATCATTTGAAGTTTCATGGCGGTCACTGGAGTAAAGAGCCATTAACCTATAGGCTACATCATTGGCTGGCGTCCTCCAGAAGACTCAGACATCAACTGTTCCAGAAATCAATACTAATGTTATGAAGACACCCGGCGTTCTAGCAGATCTAAGCCAATACAAGGAAAGTTAGTCCAACATCCTGTAAATAAATTGTTGTAGATAGGCTAAATATACAAATATTTGTAAGAATAAACTGAAAACTGTTCTGATTTTGTGCATGCCACTCCAGCTTTACAGTATGTGATACAGAAATTACAATTTCTAAACAGCCTTCAGTAAATGTCAATTAGCCAACATCAGTTACTTACTCTTCCTTTTGTAGGCCCATTTGATCATGTTCAAAGAAACTAAAGCACCCGGAAGAGGAAAAGAGTGGCATACCGCTGACTGCAGGACAGGTGCACATTCCAGCATCCCGCACATCCATCGCAGCCTCGCGCTCTGCGCCGCTTTAATCTACTTTTTCACTATGGCAACAAATGAACCGTTCACTGTCTCTCGCTCGCGCCACGCGCCAATGAGTAAGCTCCGTCCGCGTCACACCGGGTCATCCACCCAATGTGTCTCTCTCTTGGTTTCTTGATGTCACACCTACCTCTAAGATACCATCTGGAGATAGCTCCACTGAGTAGTCCAAAAGTATGAAAGGGGATGGAGGCAGAGTGGAGAGAAGAGTAGCGGCTATAGGCAAGAGAGGGGGTTTAAAAGCTGGGCTATGCCAAAGCTTGGATTAATTTGCCAGCCAAATGCATTTGGGATTAGTAGGCCATTAAAAGAGCATGGATATACACAAGCAAAGCACAACTACGCCTATACACAATTTGAAGCTGTCTTTTTCTGATGCAGTTTGCAGACAGGATAAGGCTTTAGTTGGTGATAGCTTGATTAACCTCTATCACTCTATTTCTGTGGCAGAAACTCACCATGACAACCATACAGTATGCGTGCAATTATGCAAAATGATCTGTTTTGTTTGGGAAGGATAAAAATGATAAACAGTCAATAACAAATCAAAAGCTAATACAATAGCTAGTAACATCTACTGTGCACAAATCAGATCACCTGGCCTATTAGGTAAGAAACATACTAAACATAAAACATACTTATCTATTATTACTGCATCCCATTCTTGAGTTCTTTTAACAGCACTCCTCTACAAATCAGCAGAACAACAGTCAGTGTCACAGTCAGCAAATCAATTATTCAATGGCATTTCAAAATAACAGTGAATAGCCATGGTTGCCATAGACACATAGCTGATTTAAGGCTTGTCTGAGGCTCCCATATTCTAACTCTAAGTAGGACAGAGGAAAACAACCTCATAATGCATCTACAATGAATGCAAATATTATTTAAGGCTTATTGTTGTCAGTGACAACTGACTATATATATTTGTGCAGGTAATTAACAGAAAGTGACAAGTTAAAGAGCAGAAATGTGAATGGGTGGACTTCAAAAACACTGAGATGTGGGGCTGTTCCAGAAGGTTGGTGAATAGAAAAGAGATGCCTGTGGTTGGTGTTAGCTGTCAGCACAGGTTGATGAGCTGTCACAGTGTCTGTGTCTGCCTGGGATTCCTCAGAACAGGGATAGCACACAAAGCAGAGATACGGCTCCATGACATAAGGTATTCATACAAAACAAAACAAAAAAGAACATGAAAATTGAGTGGGCTTAGTTATCCTCATTTACACATTTTACATTTGTATTACACTCACCGATAGCCAGTCAGACATGTAATGTAGCCAAAGGAAAATCTAGTTTGTTGTTGTAGCATACACTGTATATGGGTTGTAGTCAATCTGCAAAAGAAAAAAGAAAAAAAAAAACAAAACTTGTCATATTTTTACTCGGGCATAAAAAAAGAAATTCTTCTTCTCTTATAATAATAATAATAATAATAATAATAATAATAATAATAATAATAATAATAATAATAATAATAATAATAATGCTTTAGAAATACTTTAGAAAGGTGACTCATTTTCCAAGAGGTTTTCATTAAGTTTGGTCCAGTTTAAAACAGGTAAATTATAAAAACACAAAAAGGGTAGGCTTTGAAGTCCATATGATTTGGCCAGGTAGCCCGTTTCCAACACTTTAGGGACTGACATCGCCCTCTAGTGTTCACCTAGGTCTGATTATAAATCGAAAGGACAGTGATGTGAAAAAGTGCAGGTCCCGCTCACGTAAAGTAAATATGTACTAGTATTTACATTTAAGAACCAGGCTACTACGTCTCACACAGATCTGTTTTACACCCACACACATTCTTTGCCTCTGTGTGTGTCTACAGTGAGAAAAGCCCTGTGGACTGCTGCTATCCTGTGATGGTCATTCCTGTTCGCTCCACTACGTTCCAACAGCGGGATAAGCTGCATCCCGTGCCTGGCTGCGGCAGCATGTGACCGGCTTGTGATATTCAGACTTACGCAAAAGACCTTCAGCTCAGAGCTCCAGTGATCTGGAGATTGTGAACGATAGATATTTGTCCAGTGATGAAATATATGCTGAAACAATTTTGCAGCCTCCATACAAACAATAATAATGTTATTCCTTGATGTCTTTAAACAATTTATTTTTAGTTGTGATTTCTATATATTTTGACATTTTGTCAGAGATTCACAGGTCAAAATATTTGTATTAAAGGTTCTATATTAGTCAAATATAATGCTGTTAAATATACCTAGAGTCGTGTGTTGTTTCATTCACACATTTGAGTAACCCTGAATTATGAGTCTGTCTATATCTCCAAAGCTCAAAATGCTCTCTTCAACCTTGTGATGTCATGAGGTGATAGTTTTCAAGTCAACAGCTACTTTTGCCTTTTGTTAAGTAGAGATTCCAGGGCTCAAAGTTTGAGAAAAGGACTAAATATGCAAGGTCTGTGTGTTAAACATGTGTGACGAAACAAAACACAACTCCAGGTATGTTTGTGTTGAGGAAAAACTGCATAATATAGGCACTTTAATTGATTATATTATTTTTCTCACCAATTTTTTCACTTATATAAGTTACTGTTAAGTTTCTTCAGAGACAAATTCCAAAGTAGGCCTTGAATGGAGGCTTCACTCAAGCCTGGAGGTACAGAAAAGTCAGCTGGTCTCGAGACAAAAAGAAATTAAAAATATTATCCTGAGCATGTGATTGTGTGAGGAGCACGAACTGTGTGTGAGTGATCACAGTGAGATCACACACTTAGTCCAAGGGCCGCCCCCTAAAAGAGCTTAATGAGTAGGAGAGAGCAGGAGTTTGCTGGTTGGGTGCAAGGAGGCTGGGGTGGAAGGTGGTCTGAAGAGGGTTTGGTAGTTCCATAGACTTACTGTAACTGGTCACTGATGATAAAGTATATGTCTCAGACAGGGAGATTTTTGGACTGAATCATTTTGAAGATCTGCAGGCTGGTAAGAGCTTGGACATCATCATGAGAAGTTTGTGTCTGCTGGTGCTTCTACTGGTGCTCCTGGACTGTTGTCTGTGCCAGTTCCCTCGTCCCTGTGCCACCTCCGAGGGGCTGCGGACCAAAGAGTGCTGCCCTGTGTGGGAGGGGGACGGCTCGGCCTGTGGAGCTCTGTCTGGGAGAGGCTTCTGCACAGAGGTGGAGGTCTCTGATGAGCCCCATGGGCCCCAGTACCCTCACAGTGGAATAGATGATAGAGAGCGCTGGCCAACAGCTTTCTTCAACAGAACATGCCGCTGTGCTGGAAACTATGGAGGATTTAACTGTGGGGAATGTAGGTTTGGTTACTGGGGAGCCAACTGTGCTGAGTACCGAGAATCTGTTCGTCGGAACATACTAACTCTTTCAACTGTAGAACAGCAAAAGTTTATTTCCTATCTGAATCTGGCCAAAAACACAGTAAGCCGTGACTACGTGATCTCCACAGGAACAAGAGCACAAATGGGTGCAAATGGAGAAAACCCCATGTTTTCAGATATCAACACATATGATCTGTTTGTTTGGATGCATTACTATGTGTCCAGAGATGCTTTTCTTGGAGGACCAGGAAATGTTTGGAGAGACATCGACTTTGCCCATGAATCTGCAGCCTTTCTGCCCTGGCACAGAGTCTTCCTACTTAATTGGGAGAATGAGATAAGGAAGCTGACCGGAGATTTTAATTTTACCCTCCCATATTGGGACTGGAGAAATGCCCAAAGCTGTGAGGTGTGCACAGACGCTCTGATGGGAGGCCGCAATGCTCTCAATCCAAACCTTATCAGCCCTGCTTCTGTCTTCTCATCATGGAAAGTAAGATATTTTCTGTTTTCATTCCTCATAGTTTGGTATTGCCAGTTGCCAGTGTAACATTTTATGTGTTTACTTGCGTATGAAGGTGATCTGCACTCAGCCTGAAGAATACAACAATAGAGAAGCACTGTGTAACTCCACTGGGGAGGGTCCCCTGTTGCGTAATCCAGGCAATCATGATACCAACCGTGTGCAGCGACTTCCCACTGCTGCTGATGTGGAGTTTGCTTTAAGCCTGCCCCAGTATGAAACAGGAGCCATGGACAGATTCTCCAACATGAGCTTCAGAAATGTCCTGGAAGGTAAGAGTCCAGTTGTACATGAAATGTAGCAACCCTTTGTTTACATTATGTTTCTTAGGGTTTGCCAGTCCAGCATCAGGTTTGGCTGTTCCAGGCCAAAGCACGATGCACAATGCACTTCATGTGTTCATGAATGGGACCATGTCTTCAGTTCAGGGCTCAGCTAATGACCCAGTGTTTCTGCTGCACCATGCTTTCATTGACAGGTAGTGCACAGACATAGATGTTAACACAATTTAAAGGCATTACCAGTAGCTGAGTCTTTTTATTTTCAATAGCATCTATGAGCGATGGCTCAGGACACACCAACCTCCTCGCTCCAACTATCCCCGGGCCAATGCACCCATCGGTCACAATGATGGTTACTACATGGTGCCATTCATGCCTCTTTACAGAAATGGAGAGTATTTTCTTTCTAACAAAAATCTGGGTTATGAATATGCCTATCTGCTGGATCCAGGTCAGTAATCACCATACATTTATTTTCCTCTTGTAAAAAGTCATATTAAAAGTGTTTTGTTGTTTCAGGCCAAAGGTTTGTACAGGAGGTTTTAACACCTTACCTGGAGCAGGCCCAGCAGATCTGGCAGTGGCTTTTGGGAGCTGGCCTTTTTGGGGCAGTCCTTGCTGTCTTAATAGTTGCAGTCTTTATAGCTGTCAGAAGAACGATGAAACATGGTAAGAGGAAGAAGAGAGCATCCAGTTTTGGAGAGAGACAGCCACTGCTGCAGAGCAGCTCAGAAGAGGGCTCATCTTCATATCAGACACATCTGTAACTTGGACTGAAATAGGATCACTGACCACAATTTTACAATGATGATACCTCATAATACCATACTTCAAACTAGTCTACACACTCGTTTACAACAAGTCTAATATGGTATGTAAGCGGGCAGAGCTGTTATTTATTGATACCCCGGCATATATGATATTGCCAGCACAATCTGTTTATTAAACTGGAAACAATGTGAGGGGAAGCACTTGGAATGTTCATTGTCAATCTACTCTTGAGTTCCATCACATTTTTATTCAAGAGAATAAAGTCAAACATACATGTTTGGCCTATTTATTTTTCCCTGCAGGAAATAGTGTCGCTTACATATTTACATATTAATACAATACTGGTGTATATTTCTAAATAAAGAAACATTTTTATAAGAAAATATCAAAATATAATAAATAAAAATAATTTATTCAGATCATTCTTACAAAAAGATATTTTCATAAAACATGTAATTGAAAAAAACATTTTACCATGATTGTGTAGTTAAGTATATAGGACAAAAGTGTAATGGACAGGTCCAAGAGTTGTAACAGGGTGCAGTACAAACACAAGCTTTATTGTGTTTGTATTTGACACAATTATAAAATAAGCCCTCTTCCAACTTTGAGAACTCTTTAGAAACAACCTTGTCTTTGGGTTTTAGCAGATGAATTATATATGTCCAAACATCACTACTGTGTGCCTAAACAGTGAATAGTTGTGTCCCTGAGCAAGACACTTCACAAAGCCACACCCACTCCAGTCCCAACAAGAGGCCGGTTGGTTGAAAGGCATTTGCTGTAAAAAAAATCAAATCCACCGTCTGATAATGGAAGATAACTAAAAAGTCGTTATATATAGAATTTGTTGGTTTATATAGTAACAATGATTAAGACACATATTTCATTAATTACAAGTTTAAGGTTTTCTTTACAGGTTTTTGTAAAGTGTTTCAAGTATCAAAGTTGGTAACAGTATTCATTTCTCATGGGGAAAACCTCAGTCAGCTGAAGGATTCCTTGTTGAATTCAAATATAGTTCCTGTGTGTGGGTTGGAGTTACACAGTCTGTGAAGGGTTCTGGAAATGCCCTTAGGTCCACAACAGAACACCCCCACCCTCCTCCTGAAACACAGAAACAGAGACTGACCCTCAGCTCACATGGCTCTGCAGTGACACTGTAACTATGGGCTGCAAGTAGAGCTATGTGATGACCTCGAACCGAATAGTCTTTAAGCTGTGTGTGGATGGCATTGGGGCTTTTATTTAAAGGAACAACTTGGATTTTGTTTGTGTTAAATAGCACTGATTAAGAGCACCGTGTTTGACTTTTCTTCTTTCTAGAAAGAAAAACAGCTTTAACATCATGCATTGTTATAAAAGCAGCTATTTCAGTTAATTATCACCTATGTATGAGGCATTTGAGCAATGAGAATCATGTGAAATCAAGTGTCAGCGACAGTTTTTATCCATAAATCAATTGTTGGATGAGAACCATTTAGAAACAATGACCCAAGACTATTCTAGCCAGTTGTTTCTCCATGGCAGAGTTAGAACTATAACATCCATGGATCATTATTTCATTATTTCACATTTTTTGTTTATATTATATGTTTTTATTGTATCAGATCAGCAGGTGTGTGTACAGCTTTACTCACCCTGTATTGGCCCGTCCAATGTCATTCAACAGCAGCTTCCACCTGGGTCGCCCAAAATGCAGCCTTGAAGTGAGCACTTGATACTTCTCCTCTGATATGTTCTTGAAGGTTTGGGACAAAATAAAGATTAGCACAATATATCAGTGAGCACTAAGCCCTGTGTGTTTAACTCCCAACACCAGCATTTTATACAAAGTCATACATACTCATGCTTTTATTTCTCATTTAGTCTACCAAGCAGGCCGAGTTCTGTTTGACCATGAGATACTACAGTTGTTTCTATTGCATGTTTCAGGTTCACGGGACAAGCTTTTTGAAGCACAGTGATCAAACTAAATTGTATTTCTGAACTTAAATATGAAATAGCAGGTTGGTAATTTGTAACATCTGAATTTTAGATGTTGGCCATAAGGATTTAACAGCTCAACCAAACAGATTTGGCTGTTTATAATTCATGTACGATTGCTCCAATGGAGAATTCCACACATTTATCACTGACAAATGGTCTTGTGACAGCTTGTACTTTGTAAACACAGCCTTCCCATAGCATGAGAAAAAGAAAAAATCCTCTCATTGTCAAGGAATTAACTCAGTATCCCAGTGTGTGAGAGATACCCTTTCTAACTATACATTCTAACTATATTAGAAAGAGAATTAGAAACGAGACAGTGAAAAAATATATCCGTCTGAACAACTTCAAACTTCTCTGTTCCAATAGCTTGCTCTGAACAACTGTCTACTGCCCTCTAGTGGTAAAAGTATAGTATAGTGTATATGTCTCACCTGCAGCTTGTCAGCCTGACTGAAGTACAGTTTCAGGTTGAAATAGTCAGGTCTGTTTTCCAACCAAAGCTAAAAAGACATAATGAAATTTATGATAAAATAAGACCCTTGTAGAAAAAAAAACAACAAAAAAAAACACTGAACACTATTATGAAAAGGTAAATCATAAAAATCCTTCTGACCTTTTGATGCAGGGCACACAGCAGGTCAGCAAACCAGTAGAAGGATTGTAGCTCCCTGCAGACCCACACAAAGTACAATCTCTGCAATTTGAAGCCAGTCCAACCATCACTGAAAGAAGAAACAAACGTTCACTTTATATTTATTGGTTTCATTCAGAGTGAGTAACATTATTGGACCTACAGCAGCGCATGAAGCACAGAGGCAAATGGTGTGACTCCTATTCCCCCCGCCACACAAAGGCTGATGTCATAGTTGAACACATCTTCTGAAGGGCTGCCAAATGGCCCATCCACATAAAGCCTAAACACACATAAAGACATTAATTATTGTTTCAACTTGTAATTACATTAATCACTGACAAGTCAATGTGGCAATAAAAGAGCTCATAAAATATTAATCTGGACAAGTAGAACACTCAGCCGTGTTTGTATTTAAAGAGCCCATATCACACTATTTTCTAATCTCTGTTATAATGTTGTTCCCTCATCAAAAACAGACCTGGAGTTGTATTTTGGGTCGTTCACACATGTTTAACACACAAACCCAGCACACCTTCCATCTAGTTTGTACTCTCTTAGAACATTATCTTTCAGTTTTTGAAGACAAAAGAGGTCTTATCAGTTATTATGTATAGATGTGTCTCTATAGGAAGCATGCTGTGGAGTATGCCATAAATTACACATTCAGTTTCTCTATAGACTTTTAAAAATATATCAGTTTAAAGGCATGACAAGAGCTAACCAGCTATATTGTAATTATTGTAACTGTATTAATATCCATAATACAGTATATATAGATACATAGATATAGATATAGCATAGCATTATGCTATGCTGTAGTTTGTTTTTTAGCATGCTCTGAGCACCTCAAAATAAAATATATTATCTTTATGAAATGGCACAAAAATAATTAAATTAATAATTAAATCTCAGTTACAACTGGCCCGGCATGAACACAGTCAAACAGAGGTTTTTATAGTTCTATTTACTGACACAAAACAAACTTTCTTTCCCTAAGCCCCCAATGATCCTTTGCATCAATGACTCTTTCATTCACAGAGCAGGAAGAAGAGGGGTCACAGGAGTCAGGAGGGCATGACTTCTGACCCTTGTGTGATTTTGAGCCTTCATTAGATATTATGTCAGCAGCATCATTCATTCACACACACACAAACACACACACAAGTACGCACTTGGGATATCTCCTCTGTTGCACCATGGGAAGGATTTCGAGGTCTAGCTTTGGTGGGGGGAGTAGAAGCTGTGTGAGCCGATCTGGGGGAGGAGGGAAGATATAAAAGTCAGTGTTACCATCAAATATTTAAAACCACCAAGCTGTTTAACGTAAAATCTCAAATGAGTTAATAATATGTGTACTTTTTTTGCCACGATTAAAAAAAACTAATCTACAGTGGGATATACTGTAAAAACATCCTGGCAATATCCGGCAAATTAGAGCCAAAACAAATAAACCAGCTTCCTGTTTTCTGAAAACAGCTGTGTGAATACAGGAGCTGAAGCTGGGAAATGTAAAGATTCTGTCACAGAGTCCCAAAAGTCAATTTCCTGTAGCAATAATCTTTGTAATGCATAACATATAATCATAAAGACACGAAAACATTGGCAGATTGTTGGGTTTCCCAGAATGAAAGCAAAAAGAAAGGCCCATTAAACACTACTATCACTGCTATCTTGGAGATGCATCAAATATTAGCTGTATTAAATTGTTAAATATCCTGGACTGCACATGGCTGGTTTTAGAAGGAAAGGTGATTGTGAATGTTATTTTTTACACAGGACAGAATGCAGCAAAAGCACATCTTGTGAAGTTTGATAGGGGACACACTGTTTGTTTCTTGCTCTTTATCACTGTCTTACTGTGCATGTAAAGATAGGAGATTGTGAATGTTCTTTTTTGCATAGGACAAAATGCAGCAAAAGCACATGCTGTGAGATTTGATAGGGGACACACTGTTTGTTTCTTTCTTGCTCTTTATCACTTATCATTTATGTCTTACTTTGCATTTATTTGCTTGCCTGTGTGTGTCTGTGTGTGTCTTTGTGTGTCTGTGTGTGTCTGTGTGCATCTGTGTGTGTCTGTGTGCATCTGTGTGTGTCTCTGTGTGTCTGTGTGTATGCGTGTGCGTGTGAACCCACCAGTCCAGTCACCAACCACCCTCAGATGGATGCCAAAAGTTTGCTTCTTCTCAGAGGGGCACTGGGAAAAGTTCTTAGAATCAGTGACTCACAATTGAGACAGAAAAACACATGCCGTCATATAGACTTTTGATGCAAATGTAAACAAAGTACAAAAAAAGCTGTCAGTTGGCATAAAAATGGCACGGATAAAAGCTGGCATTCATTAACCAATTGACAAGCGCAAACATTACATTTCCGAAACCAAAAACACGTGAGCAACAGTGGTGGATTACTCAAGTAAAAGTATCCCATGAAAAAATCTACTTAAGTAAAAGTGTTAAAGTAGCTGCTTAAAAATGTACTTTAAGAGTAAAAAGTAAAAGCATTTTGCAGAGATTTTTGGAACAATTAAAGGATGAAATGTAGTGATGTAGTGATTTTAAGTGATTCAATTGATTCCTTAATTTTTCTAGCCACTTTTATGCATTTGGTTTATTTAAAGTTGGGATGTTAACTCAAATTAAATGTGCTAAAAAAAACAACAAAAAACAAAGTCTCAGCATTTTCAGCAGGTCTCAAACCACAAAGAAAAATACTTACTTTTCATTCCAGATCTAAAATGTAGTGGAGTAGAAAATACAGATAACTCAAACTCAGCTCTCAAATGTAGTGAAGTAAAAGTAAAAAGTATCCACTGTAAAATTTATTTATTAAGTACTTATTAAGTAAAATAAAGATATCTAAAATGTGTACTTAAACCGCACTTTATTTTTGTACTTCATTACCTTTCACCACCAGTGAGCAATCCAACTAAGGAGTCTTAAACATAGCTAAAGCTTTCTCTTGTAACAATGCACACACCTCCACACAGACTAGCCCTCCAGTTGGCAGGTCTCATTACTAGCCTCAGGGGTCTGTCTGCTTCCTGACAGTGTGATCGCTCAAAGCTTTATAACACACAGGAAAGGCATGTGCATGAGTCTTTGTGTATGCGTTTTTATTATGTCTTAACCTGTTATGTGTAGTCGTCTGTGTTTTTTTCTCTTCTTAGAACTACAAAACAGAATAAATGTATTTGCGAAGCCAGTTGTCAGTCTTGCTTAAGATGCCGGAGGGAAGCAGATTTAAGACATAATATGGGTATTAGTAGTGCGTGTGTGTGTGTGTGCTCTTGTGCATTAGGTCATGGGTAAAAAAATTGTACGGAAAAGGTGAATTACATAATCTTATTACCATTGTTAGCGTGAAGGGATGGTTCTCAAATGAAGAGACACCTGGACAGTTGAGGAGAATATACTGTGTGATGAAAGACAGGGGATTATAGAGGAGCATGTAGAGACCAGAAAAAATGTAACATCAGAACAATTGGCTTCTAATCACACATCACTTTCATCTGTTTATAAGCAGTGGTGGATGAAGTACTCAATTTTATTACTTAAGTACAAGTACAGATACAGAGGCAAAAAGTTACTCAAGTAAAAGTATCACATGAGAAAATCTATAAATGTAAAGTAAAAGTACCTGTTTGTACTTTAAGAGTAAAAAGTAAAAGTATTTTGGAGAAATTTCTACAACACTTTAAGGTTGAAGTGTTGTGATTTTGATTTTTTTAAAAAAAATGTGACTGATTTTAAGTGATTCAACTGATTTCTTAATTTTTCTAGCCATTTTTTTTATGTTTCTTTGTGTATATGTTAGCTCTGGTTGTGTCAAAGTTGAGACTTTAACTCAAATTAAAGTGCTAAAAATAAGTCTCAGCCATTTCAAGAGGTTTCAAACCATAAAGAAAAGTACTTTTTACTTTTCAGTCCACATCTAAAATATAGTGGAGTAGAAAGCACAGATACACTATCGGTCAGAAGCTTTAGAGCACTCAAATTTTTCCAGATATTTATTGCAATTCAAGTCGTGCAATTCCAACAAAGAGCTTGAAATGGTACAATGGTAGGCACTGAACAGTCAGAGGTTAAAAAAGATAAAAGATAATAAAACTCAAGTCCAAGCTCTGCCAACACTACCTTTGGAAAAAAGAACAAGATGGTAAGCTTGAAAACAAGGAGTGGCCAGCACCATCTCTAAACTTAAACCCCACAGAACTTCTCCAACAGATTTGGGAAGAGCTTTCTGAAGAATATTTATTTCTATTGTAAAAAGAATGTCACAAATGTGTTCAGTTGTTATATCTGCCAAAGGTGAACATTTTCATAAATCAAAAGTTTAGAATATGTTTTGGTCAACAGTAAACCGAAAAACACTGAAAAAGAGTGTGGTGTTCTAAAACTTTTGACCGGTAGTGTACATGCTCTCAAATGTAGTGAAGTAAAAGTAAAAAGTATCCACAGACATAAAGATACCTTAAATTTATACTTAAGTATTGAACTTTAAATTTTGTAGTGTTGTTTGTAAGACATTTAAAACTGAATTTTCACTGATACTCTTTTCAAAAGCAGATTTATAGTCTATTTATAGTCTGTCTCACCTGTCCTGGGCGGGCCTTGAAGTTTTTCTTGACCATGCGCAGTTCCATGACATTACAAGGGTGTCTCATGGCAGTCACTATCGTAACAGGGTCACTGCTCCGAATGTAGCGGTAGACACGCTCTGCACAGTAGAGGCAGAGAGGTGCAGACACCCAAAGCCAAGTCTAACACAGAAAACAACACCTCCAATTAATGGCATATGTATCATAGTTTACATAGACACACAATATTATTGATCCACAATAGCAGAGAGCATACTTGGACATAGTAGCCCACACATCACAATATATTAACTTAGAGCCAGAAACAAAAAAATAATTGTATAAAATTCAACATAATGTTGCTTTTTTGACATTTTAATTATGTACAAATACACAAATTTGATTTGTCTGTATAAATAAAATCAAATATAATGCACAGATGAAAAGGGTGGGTTAAGGGATAAGGGTGAGTTGTTGTACGGTAGTGTATGGTATGAATACAGTCTGTATGGGAGCGGAGCTGTAGGAGCCTGTTGGAGAATGAGCTCCTCTGCCTCTCTATTGTCTGGTGGAGTGAGGTAAGCTATTTTGTTTTTATCAGTGTTTTTGATTTACACTAATTGGTTATTGGTTGAGCAAAGCCATCAGTACACAGTCTGGTTTAAAGGGGATTTTATGGGACCAGTTTGTTGCCTAACGACCACGCGCAAACATATAATCACACACGAACCAACAAAGAACTGCATGTTAGAAGAGGATGCCGGGCCCCTCCCAAACAGCACTACCCCTCTAATAAACAGAGCCAACTCCCTCAAAACGACTCCTGGCACGTGCCCCGTATTTATTCAACGACAAAGTCAAAACTATGGCGCAGTCTCCACTCAGAGGTTACCTGAGGATAGTGATGATGGAAGTGAGGGTCCTCCCTGCACCATGGTTCTCCCTCCTCAGCCTGCTCCGCCTCTTCTCTTTGCTGCCCTGTGCTCTGGTTTGATCTGATACATCCAGGGGGGTGTGCCTCCATGTTGGTTTGGTACTTCAAAGCTCCGCTGGATAAAAAGGAAAGCGGTAAAGAGGTAATGGAACATATTTCCATTCAAAGCAGAGGAAAAGTTAAGTCTAACAATTTGTCTTTTTTATGTGAAGACAAAATGTCAGTCTGATTTAATGCACAGTGCTGTAAGTGGCATATAATTTATGTCTAAAGGTTTGCTAAGTGACTTTTCTGGTAGAAGGTCCATAATCAGCTTGAAACCATGGAGATGTTATTGCTTTGCCTGAAATGTTCTATAGTTTATCATTAGGCATATTTATCTCACTTCAATAAATAAATGCAATGAACTCGATAGATCTGTGCAACGTCATAGAGTGGAACATTCCAGGCAAAGCAATAACATCTCCATGGATAAAAGCAGGTGGCAGACTCTTCAGCAGAAAGATACATTGAGCACCTTTAAAATAAAAACATCGATTTGATTTACCACAGAGGTGAGGACTTGCAAGTCGTGACTTGGACTCGAGTCAGACTTGAGTCACCTTTTAGGACTTGAGACTTGACTTGATAAAATAGACAAAGACTTGGGACTCGACTTGGACTTGAAGGTCAGTGACTTGGGACTTGACTTGTACTTGAGCCCTGCAACTTGAGAAGACTTGATGCTTAGTTGACAAATGAACTGTTATTAAGCGTTAAATCTGAATTTTTTCCACTTTGACCATAATAATTCACACTATCGTCCAGACATGGACATTTCTACAACTCTTATATAAATATTCATCATTATATATAATATATTCTATATAGTATATATATATATATATATATATATATATATATATATATATATATATATATATATATATATATATATAAGCGTTTTGTGTTGCATTTTTTTGCATGAAAAGCGCTCTATAAATAAAGTTTGATTGATTGATATATCAATATACCAAGACTTTTTAAGAACATTTTAGTTTAAAAATGATATAAAATCTGCAAAAATGTATGATATATTTGGTACTTTGGTAAGAAAGACCTGAAGTGACTCTTAGTTCAAAGCAGACAACTTGGACTTGACTTGGACTCGTGGGCCAGTGACTCGAGACTCGACTTGGACTTTCCTGTCTTTGACTTGGGACTTGACTCAGACTTGAGATCAAAGACTTGAGACTTACTTGAGACTTGCAAAATGATGACTTGGTCCCACCTGATTTTACCATAACTATATTTACCATAACTTCAACTTCAACAGAGTACTACTCACTTTTACAGAAACATACTACCAATACATTTATACTTCAGATACATACCCAACAATGTGCATCATCAGGATTATGTAGAATACTATAAAAAGGTTGTGCGTGTACCAGAAGATCTCATAATTAGAAGCCCTGTAACACAAACATATTAATAAAAAGTCTTATTGAGAAAATATGCTACCAAAGCAACATTCAAGAATGCAGCTAAATTAAATATACGTTTATGCAGATGGGTTAAACACTACGCATAACAACACAGAGAGACACCAACAGAAGTATGCTAGGTCCTAAAGTTGGTTCAGTAGCAGACACCCAGGCTCCAAGCTCAAAGTAAAGCAAGCAGCACATCAGAGGTCAGCATTAAAGGGGTCACTTCACTCAACGACCCCTCATAAAAACACAAATCATTCATGTCATAGTTTGAGAAGATCAGTCACTCCTTTGAAAAATATCAAATCTAACTGTGCTCATAAAGCCTAAATATATTGATTATATACAAATAAAACAATATAGATCTTTACTAAAATTATAATACTGAAAGGGAAAGTGACCACAAGCAGTTGTTTTACAGCTTTGAGTGCTGTGAAACAATGCTCTTTGAGAGTGTAACGAGAAAAACAGACACGCTCTACAGTTCCAAACAAGACGCGTACACAAAGGGCGACCCCCGGTGACCTGGGTAATGACAGAGTTGAGAGGAGAACACTTAGGGCAGGATTTGCTCCCTGACAGATCCATGGCTCTGCATTTTCCATCTCACAACAGGTGAGTCATGAAGTCCAAAGACAAAGTGAGCAGGAATGGGCTGAGACAGGATTGAATTGTCTGCACCACACAATAGGATTAATATACCAGGACTAAGACTTACCTTATGTAATGGAATGAGGAGATAAACATCAAAAATAGGATGAGAACCAACAAGAGCCCAGTGACACCTGGGACTAGAAAAAAACATGCATATATTTACAGTTGCATTACATAAATTCCAATGAATGTATACTTCACAATGTAAAAATGTATAAGAAACCTACTTGTAGTTAAAACGATCACCTTGGGATCCTGGAAATGCAGAAATGGGATATATCAAGTGCCAATTTTTTATACTTGTATGCACTTTCATAATTATACCAGCAGGCTGAAGCATCTTATCACTAAATGATCTACAGCATTTATGGGAATATATAGTCTATAATCTGAAATTAACCACCTACAGTAATAAAAAAATTTATGAGTGCACATATATCCTCACCTCCCCTTTGTAGCGTGCCAAATTGAGAGCAGGAAATTCCTCTGAGTAGCTAACACTGAAGTTGACCACATTCACAAGGTGGGCAGAAACATGCAAAACTGTAAAAGAGAAAGAACATACAATACACATTGAGACATTGAAACAAATAACACAGTGTATACAGACTGAGGTTCTTTGTCTAGTCAGCAGAACATCCTCCTGACTCATAAGGTGAAACTCCCATTGACATCATGGGTTAATCATGCAGCTGTCCGCTAGCTGATAGAATTATAAGTCATAATCACAGGACACTAGGGCCCTTTTCCTCAGACCTATCCACACTCCTCACGCATTGTCTCTTGCCTTTCCCACTATTTTATATTATTCATCTGGCGTTTATAGTCGGCCTGAGGAAAACAGAACAATACATTTGATTTCAGTGTCATTTATAGTCATAATTTCTGACCTTAACCTATGACCATACCACAATGATGAACTGATGAATGAACTTAAAACATGTACTTTCAATATTAAATCATAGTACTTTCTTTGACATTACCATGCAGTCTTACATCTATGTTTTCCCTCAGTCGTATAGGTAGGTTCCATCGTGGTCCATGGGTATGTACTAGTCTATGTGCTCTTATACTTCTGATACAGCTCAATTATTATTATATATAGTTATATATAGGGGTATGCAAAAATATTGAAATATCGATATATCGTATCATTTAATGTGATGATACAGTGCTGATACCCTGGGCTGCTCTATCGATATATCGCCAAGAGTATTGTTTGGTGTATTTAACCACATTATTTTGTTACAGCTAGTTTTGCTGCTTGTTCAGAAGAAGGAAACTCATTTATGTGACACATTTTACATTTTCACTGTTTTGATGTTTGTGTTTCATATGCACTTTGCACAAGAAGTGGTTTAATAAATAAAGTATCACAGCCATAATTTAGCATTTATTTTTTATTGAAATGTATCAACTCGATTTGAAATATATATTACTCAATCAAAAGTGCCCTGTATCAAGATATGTATCGTATCGTGGCCTATGTATCAAGGTATCTCATCAACAACTTCTTAATGATACCCAGCCTTAGGTATATAGGCATCTAACTGTTCTCCATCTAAGGCCATGGCTCTTATATTTACTCAATTTCTTGCTCTCTGGCATTTTTGTTTTGTAAAGGTAGCTCAATGGAGCAGAAAGGTTGGAGAGCCCTGTTCTAAAGCTATTCAGGAAAGGTTCATTTTTGAATGTGACCTTTTTAGTATCAAAACTAGTTTTAGTATCGATTAGCATCTGATTTTCAATACTTTTACAACCCTAGTCAATACAATGTGATCAGCTGAATGCACTGTCTGAAATATCCCACAGAGACAGATCAGAGAAGGAGCCTTTGCTTTACCACGCAGACATACAGCTGCTCCCATGATGTCATGAAGAGACTCACGAGAGCACAAAGGAAAAACACAACTCCAGATAAACACACAGCAGCAGCAGTCGCCGGAAAGATCTCACAGCTGGTAGTGTAGGAATGCTGAGCCAGCCCCAGACCACTCCTCCACTATCAACACCTCCACATGATGCAGGGGATTTATGGGCTGTGCAGAAGAGGAACACTTCTTACCGGAGAAGATGCAGATGGCAACTCCACACGCCACATGGAAGGTCTTACTCTTGTCTAGCAGTCTGCGCGTCTTTCTACTGGACATCTGAAAAAATGTGATAAAGTTAGTTAAGGTTGTTTCTTTGCAGTAACAATGCTTCTTGTATTACAGGAAATACGAGTGCGTTAATTGAATACCAAACAGAGAATAATGTCAGAACAAGACTGTAAATTGTGATCAACAGGATCTATATGGGTAGAATGTAGGGTTGTCAAAAGTAACGAAAATCAGATACTAATGGATACTAAAACTAATGCTAGTGCTGCAAAAAAATGCAGTTTTTGTTTCAGAAATGTTTTGAATGAGTATAAGACCTCATGGTAACATAAAAAAGTACTGTTATTTTGTGTTGGAGATCAAATTCTAGTACTGAAGAATCAAGAATTTCACTAGTAGGATGTGATGTGCCTGGATTCAGATTAGAAGATACTTAATCAGTAAGTATCAATGTTGGTACACTACAGATTGTGTTTATTGTGTCATTATTGTACAGTCTGTTGATATACACTACCAGTCAAAAGTCATTCAATGTTATGTTAAGATATATGGAAGTATGTAGCAATGAAAAAGTTTAATAACTACACTAACTTTTTATATATTTTGTATTCAAATTCTCAAAAAAGGTAGGGTGTGTCCAAACTTTTGACTGGTGTTATATAAACATACACTATCAGTAGAAAGTTTGTACACACCCTCTCAATTAATGTTTGTTCTTTATTTATACTACTTTCTACATTTAAGATAACAACGGAAGACAGCAAATATATGAAGCAAGATAAATGAAATGTAGTAAAGAAAAAAAATCGATTAAATAGTTGTTTAAGTCTAATTTCTTTGCTATGTAATTCCATATATCTTAATTAGCTTAATGTCTTCTATATGTATATAAAATGATACTTGTGGCTAAAAAAGGGAAAATGTTGACTAGAATTCTGTCAAAACCTTTTGTACAAACCAGTTCAAATAATGGGTTATGTGCATCTGTGTTCAAACTTTTGACTGGTAATGTAAATTTTAGCTTATATTGTCATATATTAAACATGCACTATGTAACTTTTTGGTTGGGAGTCCTTCACTAGCTTCTTTCTACAGATATATCACTGCTCTGCCTGGAATGTTCCACATTATGAGATTAAACAGCTCTAACTTACATTTATTCAATTACAGGTGGTTTTATAGCTCAAAAATACTTAGAAAAACAGGCGTTCTGGCAGTGAGTTGAGTTGCATCTCCACAAATCTGACCTGTAACTTGGTCTGGTTTGGTTCCATGAAGACAGAAAAGTTTATTATTATACTGTGTGACATTTGAGACAAAGCAATAACATCTCCAAGGTGAAAAAGCATTTGATGGACCCTCCACCTGTAAAGTTGCACAATGCACCTTTAAGAGTGAGTGTTTACCTTTTGTGTTCCTCTGATAAACGTGAGAAGAGATCGACACATGGGGAGCAGAACCAGGCTGCAGTTCAGGTTTAGCACTGAGGCTGAAGCACGGCTGATGCAGAGCCCAAGCTAAGAGAAAAAAGAAAAGAGTAGCCATTATAGTCAATGATGTCAGATGTACTTGTATAAGAGGGAGCAACCACACACTATTTAGACATTTTAACTAAACACAGACATTTTGTAAAATCCTTCCTCACATAAGATCTGGAAACACACTTAAACACTTTCAGGTGCTGTCTCTTCAGATTATTCCCACGACTGTAAAACACATCTAATTGTTTGCTGATGCTGTGGAGGGCTAATGAGGCAGAAAGTTCATGTGTACAGTATGATGCAGATTTGTGCATTATGGAAAAGTCACAAACTCACTCAAACTGCCTATGCCTTCATAAAGGAAAACATGTTTTTAGCCTACATTCAAAGTGAACCAAATATTTTCATGACACCCATTAATAACTTCTGAAACACTTCTCTGTAGCTCCCTGAGAAGGAAATGCATCTGATGGCTAAACCACAAGCAGGAGATCTGATTTCCTTCTGTCTGAGTACTCCCCATTCACATTACACATAGTAAACTCACACACATCACATAGATAAGGTATGTTTTTATAAAGTCACTTATAAAGTTCCCCTGAATCTAAATCATCTCATCGCGTGCACACACAAACCAGGCACTATAAAACAAAGGCAGATAAACTTGCTCCCTTTGGCAAGGCATTCTGTCAAAGCTAGCAGCGTGCCCACACTTGCCCCTCTGCCCCTGGCTCAGACTGCACAGATCATGAACAGTGTACACATGCTTCAGTTCTATCGGCTAATAATATCAAGTACTTTTCAGGCATGATTCCATTGCAAGTTTAGTCTATTTTCCAATTACACTGTTTAATAATGGCTTAATGAATGCCTCCCACTTAAATTCCCACAGTAAATTAAGTTACAACAAAAACAGTGGGTTGTCTTTCTGTTCAAGTAGGCTTAACTAAAGGCATTTTTATATAAATATTATTTTTATTTAGACGGTTTTATCTATTTTAACTATATGATTATGGTCACTCCTATTTACATTTAACAATAGGCCCATGTAACTGGGCTATAATGTATTTATGATATGCATCTTCAAGATCAATTGAAATGTGTAAATCTAGAGATTGAATTTTGATATCTTACCCCGAGCATTTTGTGAAGGTAGTAATATTGTGGTCCAGAGGAATAGAGTAAAAAGGTCCTCACAAATAACCAGGCATTCGTTCCCAGCCACAGCAACTGAAATAAGAAAACAAAATGACATTGAAGTTATTACATTTTTCTGTGTCCTGCAAAACAGCAAATATTTTATGTATCGATGCTGCTTTTAGACATTCAGGGAGCATACAGCAGAGTCGTGCCTGTGTTAAAACGAACGTGTAACCACAACAAAAAGTTTACTCACCAGGACTAAGTGCTTCGCTCCTTCGTTGGCCACCCAGCTCCGCACCGACACGACCATGATGTCTCCAAACACGGGCAGCAGCTGACGACCACGGCTTCCCTGAACGCCTGGAGTGTTGAAGAGATAGATAGTCCGTCCCACTTTTATAACTTCGAGTTGAGCCCACCGGCCGGTCCGTGCGCGTCCTGGGGTGGCTGAGACTCGCTCTGATCGGTCCCTTCTCCACGCCCCTACTAATCCATGTGCTCCCGTCTCCTCCGAGCTCATCCAGATCTCATGGCACAAAACAAGTCGAAGAGCTGAAAAACTACGGCAGCATCTCTTCAAAGCTCAACGTGACTTCATGCCTACGCGCAACTACAAAGCCGTGCGCCGACAAAACTGTAGTGCTCTATTTTCTCACTAGAGGGCGCAACTAAATAACTAGTCAGCTAATCCTGAGGGGCATACTAGGAAGCGCTGGGTGGCTAAATTGGGTTAGTCAAACTCGATTTCCTGTATCACGAAGGCGGCTTACTTGTCTGTATGCTTGCATCACTATAGAAAGCAATCAGATCTGTCTATCTTTGAGCAAGTCTTTCTGCACATGTTATTGATGGACGCTTTAGTTTGAGTGTGTGGCAGTGGGCAGGGGTTATACCGTGCAATAAACCCTCTCATATAATCTCTTAGAAACAGGAGTTCAGATGAGGTTTCATACGCACCAGGGGTGTAGCAATTTTTGGTGCAGCCGCTGCGACGCACCAGGGCCCACGGCACTTTGGGGGGCCCACGCTATGCCACTGCAGCGTTCGCCAGCTGTGGCACTCTGATTCAGTCAATATCACTTTTTTTAATAGATAGAGAGAAATCTGTCGCAAGATTCCTAAGTTTTATATTGCATCTTATATACGGCATGTATCATGCCACTCATCCTCTGTAGACTCGGTAAACCCCACTTTGCTCCTGATTCATTTGCACTGGGGGCTATATAGAATATAGTGCATACTAGAGCCCGACCGATATATCGGCTGGCCGATATTATCGGTCAACATGGCCACCTGGAGACATATCGGCTATCGGCCGATATGCTTGCTGATATGGGCCGATATTTCACGTGGGCATGTGATACCTCGTTATAAAGCTTAGACTCTCTACATTATGTTCATTTAATCCAATTTACAGACAGATAAATGTCCTAATATGTGGCTCCGCATCAGTATTTATCTGCGGTGTAATTTGTCTGTGTCCGTACTGTCCCTGAACACACCACCAGAGTGACGTCACTTCACTCGCGTGTGTTTGTTTACACCCGCAGTGGTGCGCAACACTGAGATTATATTCTTTTTCGGACAATCGGTTTGAGTCTGGATATATAGTTATGGGTCAGTCGCGATCGAAGCGGCTCTTAGATCCGGCTCTTTGAAGTAAACAACGGGAGCATGCTTCTTATTGGGAGCCCTGTTTTCTCTTTTTCTCACTTTTTCTCTTCATGCCGCTTGTAGACCCGTAGTTTGACAGCAGCAGCGGCTGAAAACGAAACTTTCAGAAATCTGCGTGTGCATAGGATAAAAAAGTGCATATTTGGCTGCAGTTCAGCATAAAATGAATAAACCAGGACTAATCTTGGGCTCGAGTGCAGGAGAGAGATAGAAACCGAGTCCCGACACTCAGTCCTGGTTCAGTTCTGGTTTAGTTCTGTTTTACACATGGTTTAAATCTGTTTTAGTCCTGGTTTAGTCCTTTTTCAGTCCTGGTTTAGTTTTGGTTTAGTCCTGCTTGCAACAAAACAATCTCAAGAGTCGCTTGGGAGCCGAACGAGCCAACTGCTTTAGTGAGCCGAGCCAAAAGAGCCGGTTCTCCAAAAAAAAAAAAAAAAAAAAACTGGAATACCCATCACTAGTAGCTAGAATGTGATGCAAAAATGCCATTAGGCCAATCTACTGTATGTAAATATGATGTAAAGAGTCAGAATAACAATAAATGTTGCCTAAATAAACCCAATTTAGAATCCACTAGAGCCAAACCTAAGTTTTTTAATCAATTCAAGATTTACAGTGAATTTTTACATCACTAAATATACCGGTGATTATATCGGCTATCGGCAGCTCCAACTCCCATTATATCAGTTTCATATCGGCCACAACAAAATCCATATCGGTCGGGCTCTAGTGCATACTGCACATTTATGTTCTCAGTCTACATGATAAAGTATTAGATAATGCAGTGAGCATGAAGTGTGCTGATTTTGCCAATACATTTTAAGCTACAAATTATTAAACTAAAACCGTTAAAATTTAAAGGTTTAAATGTAGAATAATCTACAGAATATAGGTCAGTTGTTTGTTATGTGTAGCTTTTACAATCAGATGTTTATCAGATGGCCTATTCTGTACATAAAATTGGTCACAACACTGCACACACCCTTTCTGACAGGGCCCCGAAGTAGGGCCTAAAGCACCTTGTTGAAGGTACACTTCAATACACTTAATATGAGATTGGGTCCCAGGTTACTTTGTACAGAAGGTGCCACAAAGGCCCAAGGTCAAAAACTGTTAAGACCCTCTGGTTTACCCCTCTGCTGTCCTTTAAAGACAGTTTACGGTTTTGTTTTAATTATGTCTCTGGGGGTAAAACCTGTTCACTGCAAATTCAAAAGTGTTAAATTCACAGTGTTGGTGTTGTTGTGAGTAAAGTGAAGAAAATCCAGATATGTTTCAACATAGTCAAGAGTTATTTCAACTATGACAGTGCTGTAGAGTAAAATTAATAGTTCTTGATTCACAGTGTTAACGTCAAACACCTAGACATTTTTTTTATTTTGAATATAGCACTACATCAGTGTTGGGCTTTTGAAACGTTTCCATATGGTTGAGTTGAAGTGAACTACTGTGGCAGTGTTTTCCAGTGGCCTGCCCGCCTCATGGTGTCTTGGATTTATTCAGATTATAACTTAAATATTAGTGAACAACAAATGGAAAAAATAATTCAACTTGAACTTTATTCCTGAGTTTGTCTTATGTTTAGTTACAGTACCTCTTTACATAAATACTACTGTTTTCATATTCCATTGCATAGTCCGGTTCCTTATATTCATTTTTTAACCTTAATGCGAATTTTTGGGGGATTTGCTAAACTATATATTTTTGGAAATGTTATAGTATATGGAGTCAGAAAATCATTGTTTGCATTTGCCCAGATGTCTATATGGCGGCCATATTGAATTTCCTAAAAATGGCCACCAAAAATCTCTTTGAAATATCTCAGCCTCTGAATAAGTTGAAATGTTGATTTTAACTGCTAAACCCACATTTTCAGGGTCAGGGAATCAAATGGTGCTAGTTACAAAGCTATAAGACCTACCCACATTAACCCTTAGAGTGGGTCAAAAATGACCCGGTTTGTTTTTTTCTTGCAATTTCATTGTAATATTCGCATGTAATACTCCTCCAAACACAGGACATTGGACATTGAGCTACAGTTGTCCCTCGCTATATTGCGGTTCACCTTTCGCGGTCTCACCGTTTGTCGGATTTTTTTATTTTTTTTTTTTTTTGCAATTTTGCATGCTTTTTTTTTTTTTTTTTTTTTTTTTTTTACAGCGTATGAATGCGTATTGTGTATTACAGGCTCGTAGTAATTGGATTTAAGAGAGAGAACTCCAAGCAGTTTGTCCGCAAAGCACGATCGAGCAATTGCCCCGTTTACCTCCATGAGGTACGTAGCTGAGCCGGTCCTTTCTCCTGCGGTCACCTCCGAGCCCGTCCTGACGGTGAGTCCTGTTTCAGTTCTGGTTTAGTCCTGGTTTAGTCTTAGTTCAGTCCATGTCGTAGGCAGCGCAAAAGTTTGATAAAATTTGATATAATCCAGATCCTCAAACATGTGCTTTGTGGATCTGGAGAAGGCATTCGACCGTGTCCCTCGTGGTGTCCTGTGGGGGGTGCTCTGAGAGTATGGGGTCCGGGGCCCTTTGCCAACGGCTGTCCGGTCCTTGTATGACCGGAGCAGGAGCTGTGTTTGCATTGCCGGCAGTAAGTCAGACCTGTTCCCTGACATGTTGGACTCCCCAAGGCCTCCCTTGTCACCAGTTCTGTTCATTTTATTTATGGACAGAATTTCTAGGCACAGTCAGGGGTTGGAGGGAGCCGGTTTGGGGACCACAGGATCATCTCTGCTGTTTGCAGATGACGTTGTCCTGATGACCTGCAGCACTGGGGCGGTTTGACCCGAGTGTGAAGTGGCTGGGATGAGGATCAGCTCCTCCAAATCTGAGGCCATGGTTCTCGACCAGAAAAAGGCTGAGTGGAGAGTCCTTGCCTCAAGTGGAGGAGTTCAAGTATCTCGGGGTCTTGTTCACGAGTGATGGGAGGATGGAGCGTGAGATTGACAGGTGGATCAATGCAGCGTCGGCAGTGATGCGGTCACTATATCGGACCATTGTGGTGAAGAGCGAGCTGAGCCGAAAGGCAAAGCTCTCGATTTACCGGTCAGTCTACATTCACCTACGGTCTTGAGCTCTGGGTAATGACCAAAAGGACGAGATTGAGGATACAAGAGCTCGAAATGAGTTTCCTTCGCAGGGTGGCTGGGCGCTCCCTTAGAGATAGGGTGAGGAGCTCAGTCACACGGGAGGAGCTCGGAGTAGAGCCGCTACTGTGGTGGCTCGGGTGGCGCTACCAGCTGTGGTGGCTCGGGCATCTGTTCATCTGTAGCAGTTAAAATCAACATTTCAACTTATTTAGAGGCTGAAATATTTCAAAAAGAGTTTTTGGCGGCCTTTTTTTTTTTTTTTTTATTCAATGTGACTGCCATATAGACATCTGGGCAAATGCAAACATTGATTTTCTGACTCCATATACTATAACCTTTCCAAAAATATATAGTTTAGCAAATCACCCAAAAATTCCCACAAAAGTATATAAGGAACCAGACTAATAAGTGAATTTTAATTTCAGGGTGACAAAAGTGTTCGCAGCCTAGATACAACAGGCTCAGGCTGTTTTTCTGAGATTCTGAAGAATTGTCAGTCTAATTAATTAAAATTAAAATTAAAATAAGAACTAGATTTGCACCATTTATAGGCACTGAGTTAAGAGGGGGCCCCGACCTATTTCACACACATTTTTAAATGTTTAATTTAAAATGGTCAATTGTTCTTTTTCTTTTTTCCCCCCAAAGATAGTAATCAAATAAAATACTTTAATTTTCAAGTATTTTATTCTGTATGTGGGGAACATAAATGTTAGTTAGTTTTTTAGTTAGTTTTATTGTAGGCTCCATAAGGTAATTATTTTACTAGGTCAGCTATTACTGATAGGCTCCTCGGCCTATTATTGGTGCACTGCACAACTTTTTTGGTTTGGGGTCTGTCGCCTGCCTGTTTCTATGGAGATCTCATTGCATTGCCAGGAATGTACCACAGTACGACATTAAACAGCTCTACCTTACATGTATTCAATTATAGGAGGATTTTATAGCTCAAAATTACCTAGAAAAACAGGCATTCTGACTGTGAGTGGGTCACCTCTCCACAGATTTGACCTGTTACTTAGTCTGGTTTGGTCTCCATGAAGATAGAAAGGTTTAATATCATACTGTGAAACATTTAAGACAAAGCAATAACATCTTCCTGAAAAAAGTATTTAATGGACCCTCTACCAGAAAACTTACACAATGCACCTTTAAAGTTGTTACTGTACACTAGGCTAGCTTTATGCCTGGATGCTCTGAGGTGTGGAGTTTGTCCTCCCTAAATTCCTGAGGGTGGAGAGTGTCCCACAGCTTGAAACCTAAAGCTTAAGCAAAGCATACGCAGCTGTTCACAAAGCACAAGAGGAGATATATGACCTCAAATGTGAGACATTTAGTACTTTGATTTAGAGAAATAATTTTTGTTTATATTGAGTGAGGATTAAGAATGAGACGAACAAAAGGGCATTAAGTGGACTGGACTACAAAGATCAGAAATCTATGGAGAAACACTGAAGGTCTTTCCATTGGAGTGAGTTTGAGTATAAGAGGTAGGTAAGAGGTAGCTATTAGATTGAAAACAACTGCATCATGACATTACAAGGTGGAACAGAGCATTTTGAGCTTTGGAGATGTAGACAGATTAAAAATAAAAAGTTAATCAAATGTGTGAATGGAACAATACACAACTCCGGGTATGTTTTTGATAACACAATTTTAACATGGCTTGAAGCTGGCAAAAATCCAATTTGTGTAATAAGGATTACTACTCCACTTCTAACTCCTTGACTTAAGTTACTGCTGTAACAGTGGTCACAATGACATTAGAGTATATTGTTTAGTTCATTTGTACTGACTCAGCAGTGTGGTGGCCAAGGTGCACAGCACTCACCATTCCACTGACCACACCGGGCTGTAATGAGCAACTTTGTAGTCCTGATAACACACTTGTCACTTCACTGCACTCATTGGAAGCTTGCCTCATTGCCCCCTCCCCCTCTTTCTCCCTACCTCTCTCTCTCTTCTCTCTTTTCTCTCTCTTCTCTTACTGCGCACTACATAAACAAATTATTCCCTATCTCTGTGCAGGCACTCTTGTGAGACTGGGGTGTTGTTGTAAGGCCTTAAAATGGGAACAAAAAGTCCGTTATTACGGTGGATGTTCTGGACAATGGTCACCCTGGGAGTTTTCTTCTTAGGATATATCATAGGTAAGCTTACGTTTCACTTATTGAGCCTCACTTTAAGTTCAACAATATGTGTCAGTAGGCTTTGCTATCACCCCTTAGGCACATTTCACATGCATACACAAAAGTACTTTGACACATACTTTCTATGCTGCGTTTTTTGTTGCATCAACTTTCTTACCCATGCTGCCTTAAAGGTGCACTTTGAGACTTGCTACTTACTTGTCTCCATGGAGTTATTCATTCTTTGCTTAGAATGCTCCAGAGTTTGGCATTATTTATCTACTTCTCCGGAAAGAGCAGGTGATGTCAAGTAAACATGCTGGATAGATATGTTTAATGCATCCTGTCAGGTTACACAGTTCATATTTGAATGAATTATTGTATTTGATATATAAAATAATATAATAAAATATTATTTCAATTGCTTCCAAACTGTTATAAACCTCATCTTCTACCTAAGGCTGGTTTGCGAAGCCTGCACATCCAAACACTGAAAATCAGAAAGACTCCAGCAAGTTCCTGAAGGATTTTTTAGAAGAAATGAAAGCAGAAAACATAAGAAAGCATCTGAGGTAAATGCCAAAGTGATGTACTGTCTCCTTTGAAAAAATCTTTAAGAACAACTTATCTGAAATTAAACAATAAATGTGTTTTCAGATTCCTCCAATTATAACAAGGTAAGTTTCTTCATCATCACTAACAATTATTTCTCATGTAGGTCATTCACACAGCTCCCTCACTTGGCTGGAACCGAGCAGAACCTGAAATATGCCGAGCAGATCCAAAAAGAGTGGCAGGACTTTGGGCTGGACTCTGTAGAGCTGGTGCACTACGATGTCCTGCTGTCCTATCCCAACAAAACACAGCCAAATTACATCTCCATAGTGGATTCACTGGGAAATGAGGTAGTCAGCAATATCAGTATCATTGTCTCAGAAGTCCAATGTCTCTTTTATTACCTTATAGTTAGATAAAGAAGTAGGGCTCTGGAAACTACTTTCAACGTGGCAACTAAGGTTGATACACTGTTCATGTGTGCAGATTGTCAATACATCTTTGGCTGAGCCTGTTCCAGAAGGCTATGAAAACATTTCAAACATTGTGCCCCCATATAGTGCATTTTCAGCTAAAGGAAAACCAGAGGTGAGCCTTTTCAGATTAACCAAAACAATAATGCAATAAGTGAATTGACTGTCTGTCTCCTGCAGGGCGAATTGGTCTATGTCAATTATGGCAGGACAGAAGACTTTTTCCAGCTGGAGAGACAAATGGGAATAAATGTAACAGGAAAAATTGTAATAGTCAGATATGGAAAAATATTCCGGGGCAATAAGGTAAGGGATTTTACATTGGAACCCAGCAGTAGAAAACAAAACAGTAAAAGATTGAATTAATGTTTCTTTAACAGGTGAAAAATGCTATGTTATCAGGAGCAAAAGGCCTCATCATGTTTTCTGACCCAGCAGACTACTGTGCTGATGGAGTACAAGTGAGCATCTTCAAGTGGCACATATAAGAGTGGCACATAAGAACTATATCCATATTTCTAAAGAAGTAACAAGTTACAGTTACTTGCTCATTTGAGTAACCTCATAAGATAAGAGAATTGTGTTTGTTTTGACAATATTTGTTTTTTGTTACCCTAAAACCAGTAAAACCAGTAAAACCAGTAAAACCAGATATCTGATAATGAGAAAAAGTGACCAGTGCAGTTTATTCTGTAACATGTTTAGGCTTACCCAGAGGGCTGGAATTTGCCCGGAGGAGGAGCTCAGAGAGGAAATGTGCTAAACTTGAATGGAGCAGGTGACCCCCTGACACCTGGATACCCTGCAAAAGGTAAACTCTTTTTATATTTTAAGTAAACCTCCAAAATGTTATAATTGCTCTATTATTAAGCAATTGATGTTGTTTAATCACTTACCTCACAGAATACACATACAGATCCAAACTTGAGGAAGGAGTTGGACTATCCAAGATCCCTGTGCATCCCATAGGATACCATGATGCAATTCACTTGCTAAAGTTAGTTGCACTTTCTTATTTTATCATTGGCTGGAAAGTTTGTACACTATTATTGAGACAAAAATTGAAATTTACTTCCAGGAACATGGGAGGACAGATTCCACCCAACAACTGGAAGGGAGCTCTGAATGTCTCATACAGGATTGGACCAGGATTCATCAATGAATATAAAAATTTGTAAGCATTTACCTACATTGTAGGCCTAATGTTATGGTAACTTACAAAGGCCTATGTATCCAATAGATTTCTAGTTTGAGTGTACCAGTTGTCTTACGGTTGCTCTGTTGAAGCTGTCTGTGTGCAGTGTCAGAAATAACAATATGTTATTTGTTGTGAGAACGTGTTTTGCATAAATTAGTGTTAATTGTGTTGCTTTCAATTTTAAAAAGTTGGATTTCTCTTATTCTACTTGAAGTACGGTGCGTTTAAACATCCACACCAACAGCCAGGTAATGAGGATCTACAATGTCATCGGCAAGATTAGAGGCAGTCTTGAACCAGGTAAAGCATCGTGTTCTTTTATGTAGCACTAATGCTGAGAAATATTAAACTTGGAGGGGACTAATTTGCTTTGTTTTTGGCTGTGCAAAGACAGATATGTTATTCTGGGTGGACACAGAGATGCCTGGGTCTTTGGAGCCATCGATCCCATGTCTGGTGCTGCAGTAGTTCATGAGGCTGTGAGGAGTGCTGGCTGCCTGCTCAGTAGAGGTAGCTGATATTTAAATGCAGTAATTTATTTCACTTTTATGCTTTTTCATGTTTGTTGTTTGTACATGAAGGATGGAGACCTCGGAGAACTATAATATTTGCCAGCTGGGATGCAGAGGAATTTGGCCTCCAGGGGTCAACAGAGTGGGCGGAGGTAACAACATATCAGATTCCCATATATTTTATTTTGTGACACCTTCGTTAAATGCTCGCTTTGTCTTATAGGATAATGCCAAACTGCTCCAAGAGAGAGCTGTAGCTTATATCAATGCTGACTCTGCTATAGAAGGTAAGAATCAAAATCTTGAAATCGCAAAATTAAGATAAGAGAAAACTTTTTTTTTTGTTTTGAATAAGCTGTGTTGTAAATGTTGGCACACTGATTGATGAATATCCTTCTTTTTTATTTTTATCTATATCGCGCTATTATGGATGAGAAGGATCTGGCCTTGTTATGATGATCTACCTGTGTTTATGAAATGGCCTCACTCATAGCCTCTCTCAAATGTACATAATATAAAACTGACTTCCAAAGACTGTATTTGTTCTTGTGGTTATATAAGCTTAATTTTACTAAATATCTGTATATAATATTTTGTGTGTTTTATCTTAGGTATGTATACACTGAGGGTAGACTGCACACCTTCTCTTTACACGCTTGTATATGACATAACAAAGCAGGTGAGGTGAAAAGGGCAGGTAAACAGTGCACGTTCAGAGATACTTGTACTTACTATAAAATGTCTATATTGTGTAGATTGGCAGTCCAGAGGAAGGAGAAGAGGGAATGTCTCTATATGAAAGCTGGCATAAAAAAGACAACTGGACAAGCTACCGTGATGCACCCAGGTACAAACACATGCTTTTATATAGAGTCTTCAGAGGCTCTGAGCTTCTCTAACATTGGATTCTCATGGCCACGTATGTTATCTCATTCATATTCATTCATCTCATACAGTGTTTCAAGAGAGACATTGTTCTGTTAATGATTACTTAATATTGTCTCGCTGGAATAAGTTGCTTGTCAGGTCAAGTCAATTTTATTTGTATAGCATATTTAAAACATAACCCATAACAAGTTGCACCAGTATTCTTTACAACCAGAGAAACACAGAGTAAAACAATAAAACTAGTACACAAAAAAGTAGCTGAATATACAAAGATAAAATCCAAAGTTTACAGGGTGTTGAATGTCATCTCGAAAAAGTGTGTTTATAAGAGGGTTAAATTCAGGGCAAGGAGGAGCATGTCCTAGATGAAGTGGGAGGGCCTTCCAGAGCTTTGGGGCCACAAGAGAAAACTCACCCTCCTTAGTGTTGAGGAGATTGTGGAGGCTCCGTCACCTGCTTGTTTCGATGGATATGTCATTGCTCTGCCTGGAATGTTCCACATTATGACATTAAGCAGCTCTACCTTACAGTCATTAAATGGTGGTTTTATAGCTTAAAATATCTAGAAAACAGGCATTCTGACTGTGAGTGCCACCAGAAAAGTTACACAATGTACCTTTAAGAGAGTCCGAGTACCCAGTGGAGTTGGGCTAGGATGGGTGTGACATAGTCTGTCTTTTTAGGACTGGTGAGCACCTGACAGCAGCATGTTGGACTAACTGTAACCTGTTGAAGGAGGATTGTGGGAGGCTTGAAAATAAGGAGTTACAGTTGTCCAGTCTATTAGATACAAACATAAAAACAACAAGGTTCTTTACATAATTGTGCAAATCTGTAGCGAGGGACCCAAGGTCAGATGTGAGGGTGTTAAAATAGGTTGAAATAAAATATCTTATTTTCATTCAGCTTGAGGAAAATATGAGACATCCACTTTTTATACTATACACAAGACATGTATGGAGAGTGGCAAGGGCAGAGCCCTTGTTTGTGGAGACAGGGTAGCTGGGTATCCTCAGCATAGAGGTGGTACTTAATCTGTTTTATCTCAAGAATTAAACCCAAGGGGCATGTATAAATGTTAATGTTGATGTTAAATATGAAAGGTAATTGGGTATGGGCCTATTAGTAGTCTGAAATATCCTTAATGTCTAAATTGAGTGTGAGTGGGAATGAGTGGGTGTACAATAGATCGTTTAAAAAATGACGCTGAGATGAATTTATAATGAATAAAATAGAGAGAAATACATCTTTTAAAAGGGTTGCAGGTAAAATGTCAATGTGGCAGCTAGTGTGTTTGAGATGTGCAAGTGCCTCAGTTAGTTCTGGGAGAGACACTTGCCTAAATTCAATGAGGTGATGGACAGCACAGGGCAGAGACACAGGGACGTTGGAGAGGTGGACAATCAAGGACAATCCTTGAACAATTTTTAACAGTCCACTGAGTCAGTGAAGCAGGAGTGTGGGGACTATTGCAGAGTCAGTATATTATTATTTTATATTCATCTTAAATTAATTAAACAGAAAATAAAAGGGGGGAAATCTTACTTTGGACATTTTTTTCTCTAAATGTATGGAAGTTTAATTTGCACTCTCAAGAACAAAATCTATTGAATGTGCTTTTTTTTCTTTTTTCAAATGTAAGTAGATTACTTTAAATACATTGACATGTCAAGTCATAGACTACAATGCACTAAGTGTAGGCTTAGGCTATAGCTAACTAGATCTTTCTTTTGTAGAATAAGTAAGCTGGGCTCAGGCAGTGACTTTGAGGCTTACTTCATCCGTCTCGGAATTGCTGCCGGTCGAGCCAGGTACACCAAAAATCAGGTTGGCTGTGACTATTTGGATAATAATATAATTGCTAACCTATAGTGTATTTTGTCTAAACCAGTGTTCTTTCCATCTGTGTCAGAAAACTGAACGCTACAGCAGTTATCCAGTGTACCACAGTGTGTATGAAACCTTTGAGATTGTGGAGAGGTTCTATGACCCCTCCTTCAGACGACTAGAAGCAGTGGCTCGGGTCCGTGGAGGGCTAGTATTCTTATTGGCTGATTCTGTGCTCCTACCTCTCAGTGCCAAAGAATATGCAGACTCACTCAATACATACGCACTGATCATCTCACAAATCGCAGAAAAACACCCAGAGCAAATGCAGAAATATGAAGTGTCATTTGGTAAGTGTAGTCTGCTTCTATCATAGAGAAAATTTTGGTTTTTAATTTTTTGTTTTTTGTTCCAAGATTCACTTTTTTCAGCAGTTGGAAACTTTACAGCAGCAGCCAATGATTTCCATGAGAGGTTACAGTCTTTGAATACAGCAGAGTAAGTAGCCACCTGTATAATATAAAACTGTATGTCTTTTTTCATATTTTTTATATTATAAACCCTGTTTAACACTGTCAACCAGAATGATGTGTAATGGAGGCAAAATTAAGACAAAATGAGACCTTTTCAATGATTAAAGGACATCAAACAAAAATATTATAATTTAATTTATAATTTATAAGGCTTAAAACAAGATTAATTTGTTAGTGCATAATGGGCCTCTGCAGTTCAAATTTTAAAACTGTGTGGTCAACATTTCTGTAAAACCAAAAAATAACTATTCACCAAAAATGCTAAGTAATGTTTATAATTATCTACTTTAAAATAAACATTGCATTCTTCAAATCTGACTCTGATATTTCTTGTATCTGAGTGGCTTTCATTTACCAAACCCTCTTTCTTTATTGAAATTGCAATATGTTCTACTTCACTTTTGCCTCTAGATGCAAACATTGCGTAACTGAGAATGTAATTGTTTACAAAATTTGAAATGTCAATGTCTATTGTTAGTGTAACATGAAATTTGACATATTTCTATTTCATAGTCCTTTGCAGGTCCGCATAGTGAATGATCAGCTCATGTACTTGGAACGTGCATTCATAGACCCTTTAGGTTTACCAGGCAGACCATTTCACAGGCAAGTAAATTATCAGACTTTTTAAGTGTTTTTAAAAGTTCAATATTCTCTAGTGTAGGGCACTGGAAGGCAATGCCATTTTACAATTAAACATGTTTCTTGTGTTTTAGGCATGTTATTTTCGCTCCCAGTAGCCACAACAAGTATGCCGGCGAGTCTTTCCCAGGAATCTATGATGCATTGTTTGACATTGAAAATGCAGCTGACCCAGATAAGTCCTGGGATGAAGTCAAGCGTCAAATCAGCATAGCCTCATTCACAGTCCATGCAGCGGCCATGACGCTCACATCACCAGCATGAAGAGACCACTCACTTTGGACTATATGTAACATTCAAAAATGTAAAATAGCAGCCACATTAAAAGTGTATATCATTTTTGTATTAACCCTTTAATGTTCTGCTCAACCATTTGGTAGATCACATTTTGAGTCACTATATCTTATTGGGAAATGTGTTGAACTGAACTCAACCTGATTGGATAATCTCAACCACTTGGTTGAAGTATGCTATGCATGAAATAACCTTTAGAGGGCACTCTATTTTTTGACAGTAGGACTTTTCACTCATCGTGACTCTAGCAAGTTAAAAACAGAAAAATCACTTCTAACATATGCACAACTTCTGGCTGCATTTTTAAAGGTAAATCAGTTTTTTCAACATATTACATCATCTAACACATTACTTAACAGAATTATGTCACTTGCTGCAACAGAAAAACATTTTATAAGGGTCAAATTATTTTTTGAAAACATGCTTGACCAAACGGTTGAGATGTCACTCTATGGTAAAACTTGGCATGGAGTGACATCTCAACCATATGGTAACAGTTTGGTGAATTTATGCTAATTTCATTAAATTTTACTATTTTTGATGGAATAAAAACACTTCTGTTCACACATTGTTGCCAATATGTTACAATTACAGTGTTATTATACTGAAATTATTTAATATGTGTAATAGCGGGATCCTGATTATCTGCCCAAACAAGTAGAGGTGATCGGCGACCTTTCCACTGAATTTATGGATGAAGAGGAGATGCCCTCTACAAGCACATCTGCTAAGAAGAAGAAAAAAAGAGAAAAACACCTTAAAACAAAGTAATGGAAGAGCTGGATGAGGCCCCTGTGTCACCCCCATGCACAAAGAAGAAAAAAATGGCTGAAAAGAAAGAAAACGAATCCAGGAGAATCTGGAAGCATGTAGATATTGATGAATTCCAGGTTCCTGATTCAAGTTTCTGGGGTACAAAACCCCAGCCAAATAACAACACTGGTACTTCCCCCTGTTTGGATACGCCCTTGACCTGTGCATTTCCAATTCTTGGTTTGTCTACAAGGGAGACTGTGACCTACTGAAGGAAAAAACAATGCCTCTCAAAATGTTTCACCTGGCTGTGGCCCACAGTTTGAAACAAGTCAACAAGCCAGCACCTAGAGTTGGTCAGCCATCATCTGCTTGTCCACCATAAATGTCCTGTGAGAAGAAACACCTCCCCCCAAGACCCCCACGGCCACAACCAGACATACGCTATGACAACTATGGACATTGGCCACTTCACACTGACAACCAGGGACGGTGCAGCCTCTGCCCAAAGGGTGTGTCAAGATGGAAATGTGAGAAGTGCAATGTTTTCCTGTGCTTGATCGGAGTGAGGGAATGCTTTGTAGCGTATCATCAAAAATAATGTGCCGAGGGTTACCACTGGTTACCATTATTTAGTTTGAGAGATTTGTATCCTTTTTGAATTTGTTCAATGCAAGAAAATAAGTTCTTTGAAGATTTTACACAGCACAACTGAGAAGTTGGATAGGTCCTCAGGTGTTCTTTTTTATTATTTTAAGACAGGGGAAATACATAAATGCCCCATATGTTTTTGAAAGTACTATTGTCACATAAGTATTGGAATTTTATGCAGAAAATGGGAGCGAAATTCATTTGTTGGAATGAAATTTAATTGACATGAATTGTTTTCTGGTATTTTTATGTTTTCTACTTTCTTTTTTGTACTTCTAGTTATTAAATAATAATTTTATTGATAATATACATTTATAGATATGTATTACATACTTTTACCATCAAGCACCACCTCGACCATTTGGTAGAGGCATATATTTTTAAAACTGGGGGGTCTATATATTTTTTTTTAATTTATTTTTGTTATTAGTGACCCAATAACTTAAAAAGCACAAAAAAATAATTTTTAAATAGTTTTTTTCTTGGAGTGAACATTAAAGGGTTAAAATTGTTTTTTAGGTCTTGTTCCTTGTATTTTAAAATGATATCAATCAGTCAGTCGAACTTATTTTATACAGTTCTTTACAACGCTCAAGGTGACCAAAGTAGTTTACATTGAAATCAACACAATATAAAAACATTAAAAAAAACATTAATGAAAATGAATTGTGCAAAGTGTTGCTGCATTAGTAAGTGTTCAACACAGAATAGATGAGTTTAGAGCCTGGATGTAAACAGGCCAAAGTCTGTGATAGTGCGCATATCGGGGATGATAGTGACATATCAGGGGGCAGTTTGTTCCAGAGGCTGTGGCCAGGGAAAGTCTAGTGTTTGTTTTTTTCATATAGAGAAAAAGAACAAAAACTCTTGACACTATCCAAAACAAGTAACTGTATTCACTGCAGATCATCCATAGTTCAGTTAAAGTGAGTGGAAACTGAATTGGGCAGTCAATGGACAGATCCATGTCAACCAACTGGCTCACATCAATAGCCCAGATGTAAACTGAGTTGTAAATTTATTCACAAAAGGATATGCAAAAGATAAAACTGGTTGATAACAAAAAACACCAAAAAATTCTAAAATCCATATAACCTGAATTAGTAATTTTAGTATATTCTTAGCAGGATTTCCTTTTATGATACAACTAGAATACTACAAAAGTGTACTAGTTCTAAAAATAAATTCACAAAGCTGAGACAACACCTGGGCAATATAAAAACAATTTATTAAAAGGCTAAAGCACATGACACATTTCCTCAGTACCACTCTTTTCCTTAGTGTCAAATTTATGTATGCACAAACTCAAATATGAAATCATAAAAATTTCATCAAGCTTTTCATATTTTTCTATAAAAAATAGGAGTTGCATTAAGGATTCCAAACGCTTTTCAAATCTCCCCAAAAATATTTTAGTTTGTCTACATGACACATAAATGCTAACAACAAAAATCACATACATGCACACATTTCATCAACCCATTCACCCTGTAGAGTAACTTAAGGATACAAAAATGTGCTTAACTTAGTGAATTTTCAACAACTAATCATCCACCTGGGTTAGCTCTCTCAAACATTCTCTTATGTTTTCTGTCCTATCTTGTGGACAAGTTTCTAGCGTCCTCTCTAGCAATGCCGTCACATCTTTGCCAATCACCTTGTCATTACTGCGGTTGTAAAGATTTCCACTAAGCAGTCTGTTGTTGTTGGGGGAAAGCAAGCCACACAGGAATCTCAAAAACATCTCATACTGTCCCAGTGGCGAGTTAAAAGTCTGATTTATGGCACATTGCACAACTTCTGCTGCTGATTTGTTTTGCTGACTGGACGTGAAGAAAGTGGGCGCCTGTTTCAGAACGTTTTTGGACTCCACACGAAAAGCGGTGTAAACATATAAAGCAGCCATGAAGTCCTGGAAGAAATATGTAACTTTTACATCGATTGCTGATTTTAAGAAATGTTAGGAAAGTGTAATACAACATCAGTAGAAAGATTTTATACCTTAACAGTTGGGTGTATAAAACAGAATTTTCTTTTTCCTGAAGACACTGGGAGCAGCTCACTACACAGGCCAGAAAATACTGTGACATCAGTGAAGTCTAGACTGTGCTCTTTCATGTTCTCCTCAACAAACACATTAGAATTCTGCTCCAACATCTTCAGAGCCATCTTCCCCAAGTTGTTCAACATCTCCCTGTCAGCATCGGACCATTTCTAAATGTGAAGATGATGATGTACACGTTTTACACAAGGGATTATTATGGAATATGATCACACAAAATTCTTAAAAAACTCACCAGGTTGTTTTCAGCTTTATCATAGTAGAACTGCAGTCTGCGGTTGGTTTGGATAAGTAAGGTGTTCACATAAAATGGAGTCAGTTTGGGGGGATGTCTTCCATAATCTTGCTTGCTTCCAAAGTTATGCCCAAAGATTCTGGACACCATCCAGCAGATGAACGGCTGCCGAGTCATAACACAGAGTGTGGGCAGTTGTTTATAATGATTTACAATTTTATCCCCCATGAAGCGTCTGGTCAGGTAATCGTCTTTCATCTGCTCACTACAACAAGATACAAATAAATGTCTTTGAGAGGTAAGAACTGGCATAGTTATACTTGTGATGATGATGATACAAAATTGAAATTACATACTTGAATCCTTGGACTTCAGTTACAGCATCGATAAATTCTGATGGAATCTGAGAGACTGCAGCCCGTCGACCTAAAATCCACACTTGAGCTTTGGGGAGAAGAGTGCCCCTGATAAGATTCACAATCAAATCATCTACTTTTGCAGGAGTGTGGTTTTCTTTTATGATGGGAGAATTCTAGGAAATAAAGTTAAGAATTACATTTAACCAGCATTAAGGCTGTATTTAAAAAGTGAAGTCAAGAGAAGTCATATGTTAGACAAGTTGCCACCTAGAAGACGACTGAGAAATGCTCACCTTCCAGTCCAGCACAGTTTGGTAACAGTCAAATGAGTCCATTATGATGAGAAACTTGCAGTCTTCATCATCTAAATATTTCTTAGTTTTACACAAAGAATGATGATATTCTATTACACTCATGATGGACATTTCATTTGAACCAGAAAGATTTCTGTTCCTCAGAATCCACAAAGAACTAAACGGTAGTGTGATCACATATTGCAAATCCTAAAGAAAAAAGAAGATAACATTAGAAAGTACAGGGAAAATGTTGACTGTAGGTTGTAATATGATCTTGGGCTTTATATTAAAAATCACCTTATTGGCTCGATGTTCTGCCCAGTCATAACAATATTTCCCTACAGACACAGTCATGCCGATACCTGCGATTCCTGAAGTCAGCACAGTGCGTACAGGCTGACCATCAGGCTTCTGTATTCGAAACAGATTGTTCAAGCTAACCAAAGTGTCTGCATTTCCATTCTGGTACGGTGACTGAAGGGGAAATCTCAACTCGTGTGAAGAGACAACACCTCCACAGGCATAATGGACAATCTCTGGCTCAACATAGACTTCATTCAGACGACTGCGTTTTCCTGGTTGAGGTATTCCCTCAAAGATGTACTCATATTTTCTAACTATATCTTGCTTCAGACTAGAACGAATCAATGCTTAAATGGGAAAAAAAAGAACATGTTTAGCTTTCATTTGAAGATTGATAAATAGAATAGGTCATAAAAAGGTGTTTCTTACCTTTTTTGCAATTCTCTCGTAGTTCTTCAGCTTCTTTAGTCTTGGTGATGTTATCAAGGGTACTTATTGTGTTTAAAAGAGAACGGTCCTGGCCTGATGATTTGAAACATTATCATACTAAACTTTTTATTTAATTTTCCGATTTCTTATTAGGTATTTTTTGACTTACCAAACATCTCAATAATCCGATCCACAAAATCAAGTAAATCACCCTCAAACATTTGTTGAAGAGTAAAACCAGACTGTCGTTGATGAAAGTTTAGCTTAAACTTGTAAAGCTCCTCTTTGCTGAGATCCGTCAGGGCTTTCTGTATATTCTGAGGGAGAAAAGACCATTTTGAATGTTTAATGATTGCACCTTTAGGTCGCTATGACCACTACGATTTACAATAACTCAAACCTTAAAGACATGAGGCAGATCCTGTTCAAGGTGCAATTTGCCTGGCTGGCCGTGGATATCCATTGGCTGTTCAAGTTCAAATTCGATTGGCTCTGGTGGTTCAGGTGAGTTGGTTATCAAAATATTATCATCATCCTCATCAATCTCTTCATTTTCATCTTCAAGAGACTGCTCTATATCAGAACTAATAAAAAAAATTGACTTACCACACAAATACTAACAGACTATACAATACAGTCATTTCAAATTGGCAGAGAGAAAACACATCCCATAACAGGGCTTTGTCAGTCAGGAACCAAAAGCAAAGCCATTTTTAGTAGGTCACCAGTGTGTTATGAGCCATGCTTGAATCAGCAGAACTGTGATGAAATTCCACATTTTGATTATTGACTACAGCAGTGTTAAACTTTAAATCTTTAATCTGTTTATTTATTAATTTTGATGGTGAGTTCTGTAGCTACAGCAATTGAGAACAACTGCACACATACAAGTTTTTTGTTAGAATATGGAAAAGCCGTGCCTCATGTGAAAGCTCAGAACCTCTAGATTTCACTCACTGAGCTGCAGAGGCTGCGCTAGCACTGAATAATGATTGGCTGTGGGTTTAGATACATTTAGGATGAAAATAAATGGATTTAAGAAGTGGAATTGGAAATTTAAATGAGAGAAAACAATATAAGAAAGGGAACAGGACTGCCAAATAAAATCCCAGGCCCACCCTCTTACCAAAGTATGTCAAACAAACACTGATAAAAATAAAAATAGATTTTAAAAAAAATCTACCTGGTCTCTATGACAAGTGCTCCAGGTGGTTTGGTCTGCATTGTCGTCATGGTGTACTCTGTCTCTGGAGAAATTGGACGATTAATCTGCACCCTTCAAAGTAAGAACAAAGTTCATTCACACTGAGAAAAGAAAATAAAGCCCATAATTTCATGTGGTAAAATGTATGTGCATCTGTTTTTTACCCTGTCCCCTCCTGAACAGGAGCAGGGAGATTAAAAACCCCAGCCACTTCTTGATCACACTGGTTTTCCTCTTGGCCATCTTCATCTGCCTCTGAAGCACCAGTGTTCTCAAAGTCCTCACTGTCACTTTTCATTGAACCATAACTGGAGGGTGGTCTTTGTTGTTTTTTCCTCTCCTCCTCCTCATCTGAATACCTGCACAAATAACAAAAATGCTGTTTTGTTTTTCTTTCAGATGCCTTCTTTGTAATAAGCGGGGGGCTTAGTAGTCTTAAATTACAACTATTAACAGAATTTAATTAATTTAATTTAAAAGTAAAATCCAGTCAAATTTTAAACGGAGAAACGTATGGCTCATTAATCTGCCCTATCTGCCAAATACTTTACGAAGTCCAATGAGGTTCATGTGGTCTTCCGATAAATTTCCAGATTGATCTATAAACATTTTACTTCGTAAATTATGTTATTAGGGTTTTGTTTTTTTTTTCAGGCCAATAGTTTGTCTGAGGAAGACCACTAGTGAGCAATCGAAACGGGTTAGTATGAAAGCAAACTCTTGGTCTGAAAAAAATAACCTAATAACATAATTCACGATTTATAGATCAATCTAGAAAGTAGGGAAGCCAGTTTGGGAGACTATAAAACCATGACTTATAGCCTATTTGAAAATCACTAAGGCAATGTGAAGTTGGTAGTTTAAATACAAAATTATATTATATAATTAATGGTTCAATAAAGTTTAAGTCGAAGTCTTATAGTCGTCATGGGCTATAGCTTAAGCTCTTATCTTGTAGCCTGATGTGTGGGACGCTAAAATAATTACCTGTCATCTTCCGCGTTGGGCTCCATTCTTTTAGTGTTAGCATTCAGTGGATTTTGATTTTAAGACAATCTGCATTTCATTCGATGGAAATTCGCTAAAAAATAGAGTCAGTACAAGGCTGAACAAGAAATATGAGCCATCAGCATAGATGTACTAAGACTACGTTTTGACTTTCGGTTTCGAAGTCCAGCCCCCGGAAACAGTCTTTCAAAGTAAAGTAGTAGTGGAAAAGTGCACTTATCAAGTACCCTCACTGTTACAATAAAAAATAAATAAATAAAGATATTTGGATAGACTTTATTCATAAACATAAAAATATATTACAGTGAAACTTAAAAAGTAAATTTACTTACATTAAAATGTGTAGTGGTGAGAGTGGCATAAAAGTATGCCAACCAAAATCAAATATTAGCCACTGACAACCTGAGCTGTAATACAAATCTTTAAATTTCATTCAGAATGTAAAAAAAAATCTTAAAAATTATAAAACATGAGGCAATGTTAAGCTTTTTGTAAAAACTTGGGCACACAAATCTCCAATTTAAAACAAAAGTATAAATGAAGCAAAACTAATGTTCCCAGTTTTTGTCCATGTGATAATATGCAATGCTTAAATTGCTACAAACATAAATGATTTACTCTGTATGACACTACAATTTCAATTAAGTGATTTGATAAAACAACCAAATTATTTTGTCCAGTGCTGTCCCACAGGGCTAAAAATAAAATGCATCACACCTTCATCCTGCTCATCATCTGTGGAAAGAAAAGATCTAGTAAATAAACAGTTATCACATTTTAAACATTTTATCAACTTGAGAACAGACTACACCTGCTTCCCGGTTAAACTCACACCAACATTATTTACTATACAGTTAACTTCTGTGGTGGGAGGTCTGTCACATGCTTAACTACCTGTATATGCAGGTTAATGCTGTAACACTGTTGAGGATTCCAGGCAAAACACTAGCCTATTGAAATAGAGACAAGTAGGCAACACCCCGAGGTGAGATCAGTCAGATGTTCTGAGGTGACTCGCCCCCAATATGTATTTTATTTTTTTTAGCAATAGAAACACTATTGAATAAATGCAAACCTGCAATATTTTGTTGTGGAATATGAATTGTCATTGTAATGCTATACAGTGAAACATTTTAGACAAAGTTACAATACACCATAGTGGTAAGCAGGTTTTGGACCCCCACCAAAAAGGTTAGAGTGCACCTTTAAGCCCATGTGATTCAATCAGAGCCTTTAATTGTGAATCCACTCCACTGAAACCCCACAACAATATACACTTACAGTGAGATTTTCCTGAGGTACAATATCACACTCCTGAAAAGTGTTTACATTTATCAAATTGAGTCAATTTCTTATGGCTTTTTAGCTATGCAAAACGCACTACCTTTTAAAACAAAAAGTGATTCAGAGTAAAGTATAGATAGTTATAATTACCATAGTTATAGTTTAAAAGAAATGTACCTTGCGTGCGCTAGCCGTTAGGCCAGGGGACTTTGCAGCCCTAGTGGATACACGTGGGGACTTTCTCTGTCCTTTATTTGCTACCAAAGGGGATTTCTGGCTTCCCAGCCTGCCAGTCCCTTCGACAGGTGTGCGTCCATTTCTCGCAGGAATATTCTCTTGGCCACGACGACTAACTGACTGTGCAGGAGACTTGAGATTTTTGCCTGGTGATTTACGAGTAGAGCTTCGTAGTTTGTTTAGACCCTTCTTTAGAATGTCTTTTCTAGGGTCTTTTCTTGGGGTGTTGTCAATAGTAAACATCATTGACTGCCTCCGATCCGCCTAGAATATATAAAATATTAGGAAAAGAAAAAAAGAAAAACATTGAAAAAAAATAAAAATAAAATACAGGAACTCACTGGACTCAGGGCAGTCTGGATGTGAGGGATTGCTGGACCAGTAACATTCTTATTTTTGGGAGTAAGTGGACGAGGGAAACAGCTGGCTCTAATTTTTTTCTGTGAAAAAGACAAAATACCCCATAAAGGCAGTCCAGAACAGAAAGTAAAATGTACAGCTGTAAAAATTACCTCAGGTGAAGTTGGATGTGTAGTCAGTGTAGATGAAGCTCGCTTGTTTTTTGGGTTCCTGAGAGTGGCGCTGACTGCTTTGGGAATGGCTTGGCCTGGCATTAAGGAGAGCCGTGACTGAGATGTAGCATTTTTACCATTGTGACCCATGTAAGAGAGTCTGTGGGAAGTCAGAGAGTCCTGGAGCTGCCCAGGCATCACAGATGCACGGCGGATAGTCTCAATAGGGTCACCAGTCCTGAGTTCTTCATCAGTGAAAATCAAAGCACTATTGCGAACAGTCTAATGGAAAATAAAAGGTTTGCCGTTAAGTCATATTCCTTCTATGTACTGTGTAATAGTACACCAATTAGTTGGTGTTGAAACTAGAGTCAAACTCACATCAAATTCCAACGGATAGCTGCTCTTCAGATGTGGAAGGCAAGCCTTGTTTCTTGCCTGAATCTCAGCTATTCTCATCCAGTCCTCAGGTCCACCTTCTGGTTCATTCTCTGTTCCAACACAGAATGTACTTGTAGCTAGGGAAGATGGCATAAATGAACAAGTTACATTTACAGCCTTTGAATATATGTTATTATACAAGCAGGTTAGCCTGTGAACACAAGCACAAGTTACCCTGTGAATGGATGGTGCTGCGTCTGTATCCTGGGAGACCGATGAGCTGGTCAGCTTCAGTTGCTTTAGGTGTAGTGAAAAGTTCTGTGGAGATTCCCTGGGCTTTATGGGCACTAGAGAGATTTGGCTGGGAGCGAGCTGAAGTCAAACTGTAGAAAGTTTCATCAGCTTCATTGCGGCCTGGAGTTTTCTACAGATTTAAAAAAAAAAAACTGTTATTGTAAAACAATCTTTAAACCTTAAAATAATGACATGCATGGTCTTTAACAACGTGAATTACAAATAAACATAAGGGTGCATGTGAGTTTCCTCCACCTTTGTCATGGTGATGTTTATAACCTGTGTGGTCCTACGTCTCTTGACAGATGAAGCTGAATTTCTCTTGGCAGACTCCTCTGGTTTGAAGTCTGTAGTAGCCCTGTAATGTCACAATGTATACAAAATCTATCAGTACTTCCTCAACTTTAACATCTAAAAATAGAATAAATAAAAGTTTGGCCTGCCTTACCGGTGTCTTGTGCTGATGGGTGTAAAGTAAAGAGTCTCTAGAGACTCAGCCTGGAGTCCATTGCGTTTGGCTGCTAGGCGCTCTGAACTGCGAACTAGTGGAGTGCTTGCTTCACCAGGTGCAGATAATTTTCTATGAATAATAAAGAAAAACTTACAGCAACTGTCTGGTGTGTTTAACAATGAAAAAATAAATAAATAAAAATTCTACAATTCTCTTAATACCTTGTGTTGTTCAGCGAATCATCTAAAGAGCTCTGGTCCAGGCTGTCAGAGCTCATGCTCCTAACCTTTGTTCTTATAATACCATTTCGCTCTCCAGGAACTTCCAAAGTAAAGGGCATTTGCTCTGATGTCTTCTGCTCAAAGTGGAATTTATTTTGTGCGCGGAGAGCCTTGTCTGCAAAGCTTAGCTGAAATTAAGCAGACAGATGTGCTGTTACTTCACACACTACTGTAATGTGGCAGTATTTTTAGACCATACCTGTGCTTCCAAACTGGCAATCTTGTTCAGAAGTAATTTTTCATTGCTTTGTATTTTATCCATTTCCATTTGTAGAAGCTTGTTTTCCATGGTAACAGTTTTAACTTCACGCTCCTCAACCTCAAGTGATTGTTTCAAATTAGCCACCTCTTCTTCACTTTTCTGTAAAAGCTGCTTCTTGCTATTATAGTGACTCACTGCCTTCTCCATCTATTGAAACAGAAGAAATTGAGCAAAAACACAAACACACAATGTCAGATATTTTCATTCACTAACCTGTGCTTTATAATGTTCCACAGCAGTAGATTTTGCAGAGAGCTGCTCAAGCAAGTCTTTCTTCACTAACTCCGTGTTTTCCATTTTTTCCTTTTCCTTTAGAAGAGTGTCCTTGTCCTCTTTCAGCATTTGCAGCTCCTGCTGCAGTTTAGTCTGGAGCTTTAGGGCAGCATCATTCTCTCTTTCTATGGCCTGCTTGGCTTGGGCCAGTCTCTGGTTTTCTGAGACAGTGACTTCCAGTTGTTTCTCTACAGCAAGTATTCTGGCATGCAGTGCTTCTTTTTCTTTAATAAGACAATCCCTTTCCTTTTGTGTAGATTTAAATGTTTCTTCCTTTTGTCTGAGGACATGGGTATTCATTTCTTTGTGTTGGTTGAGCTCTGTGCTGAGAGACACACGTTCTTGCTTAAGATGATCAATTTGCTGATCTGATTCCAGCTGGCATTTAATTAACAGCTCTTCTTTGACCACAAGTTTATGAGAACAATCATCAAGTTGACCTTTCAAAGTCTCCATACATTGTTGCAAATCATCAATTTGTCTTGAACTTTGTTCTTGTAGCTCTTTAAACAAGTCATCTTTGTGTTTAACTTGTTCTTTTGTTTTGTGAAACAACTCCATCTGTGCTACTGCCTCATCCTTGAGTTTGCCAACATCTTTGTCATTTTCAGCCAACCTGATTTTAATTGCAGATAACTCTGCCTGAACCATCTGATACTGCTGTTTAGTTTTGACCAGAAGCTCCTCTTTTTCTTGAAGATTTATCTGCATCTGACGTTTCTCTTGGTTGAATAATGCCACATCTTTTTCAGCCTGTTCCACTTTAAGATGTAGGCCACAAAGTTCTTCTTGTTTCAGTTGGTTTTCATGCTGTTGTTGCGTTAGTAAAGACTCTACAGCAAGTATTCTTGCATGCAGTGCTTCTTTTTCTTTAATAAGACAATCCCTATCCTTTTGTGTAGATTTAAGTGTTTCTTCCTTTTGTCTGAGGACATGGGTATTCATTTCTTTGTGTTGACTGAGCTCTGCGTTGAGAGACACAAGTTCTTGCTTAAGATGATCAATTTGCTGATCTGATTCCAGCTGGCATTTAATTAACAGCTCTTCTTTGACCACAAGTTTATGAGAACAATCATCAAGTTGACCTTTCAAGGTCTCCATACATTGTTGCAAATCATCAATTTGTCTTGAACTTTGTTCTTGTAGCTCTTTAAACAAGTCATCTTTGTGTTTAACTTGTTCTTTTGTTTTGTGAAACAACTCCATCTGTGCTACTGCCTCATCCTTGAGTTTGCCAACATCTTTGTCATTTTCAGCCAACCTGATTTTAATTGCAGATAACTCTGCCTGAACCATCTGATACTGCTGTTTAGTTTTGACCAGAAGCTCCTCCTTTTCTTGAAGATTTATCTGCATCTGACTTTTCTCTTGGTTGAATAATGCCACATCTTTTTCAGCCTGTTCCACTTTAAGATGTAGGCCACAAAGTTCTTCTTGTTTCAGTTGGTTTTCATGCTGTTGTTGCGTTAGTAAAGACTCTTTGGAATGCATTTTATCTTCAGTGTCTTTCAAAGAAGAGGTTAGTAACTGCATCTGTTTCTGAAGATGCTCATTTTGCTCATACAGAACATTGGACTGCTCAGAGCTCTGTGTCCTCAGCTCCATCATTTGTTGTTCTTTAACACTAATCTCATTCTCTAGCTCCCTGATAACGGCCTGAGAGTCTACAAGTTTTTGCTCAAGCACCTCTTTCTCCTGAGCACTTTTAATTTCTTGTTCAGTAATCATTTGGAGCTGAGTCTGAACCATCTCTTCAGCTTTACTCAATGCTTCGGCCATATTGTGAAGCTGGTCCTTAAGGGACTGCATCTCTTGTTGGTGTATGCTAGACTGACAATCAGTCTTACTTTTTAGTGTAACCATCTGTTCTTCATTAGCACGTAGCTGCTGCCTAAGAGCAAACATCTCATCATCAAATGATGCCTTTAGTTTTTGAATCACATCATTTTCATGTGAAATCTCCATCTCTTTTCTGGCCAGCATGTCTTCTGTAAGCCTCAGCTGTTCTGTAACACTGTTTAAAGAATGATGCAAACTTTGGACTTCGGAACTGAGAAGTTGGATTTCATTCTCAAGCTCCTCTGACCGTTTGAGGTTCTCTTCCTTTAGACGTTCCATCTCTATGGAGGTTTTCCCCTTAAGATTTAATAATTCTTCCTCTTTAGTTTTAATGTTGGCATGTAGTCTCTTGATCTTCTCTTCAAATTCAGACACCTTTGTCTGCAGTCCCTCCACCTCCTGCTGTTTCAGGGCAAAGTCATTTTCCTTTAAACATAAATCCTCTTCTGCCTTTCTAAGCCGAGATGTGAGAGACTCCACTTGTTGCTGCAAGTTATTTGTTTCCCTTTTTAAGAGGACAGATTGCTCAAATCTTTGGTTTTCTAACAAGCTTATTTGTTCAATCTTTGTTTCAATTTCAGCTTTTAAATTTTTTATCATCTCTTCAGAAAATGATAACTGTTGCTGCAGAAGTCCTTTTTGATGAGAACTTTCTTCTTCCAGTTTCATCAATTCACTCTGCTTTATGTGGACCTGTTGCTTTTCTTCATTCAAAGAATCACACAAACCATTGATTTGACTTTTAAGAGCACAGATTTCCGCTTGCAACCTTTCTGACTGTATTGCGTTATCTTTTTTAACCTCAATTAGTTGCTCATCTTTGACGTGAAGTTCCTCTTTAAGTGTCTCAATTGTCTCTTTACAAAGTACAATATCATGATTGAGACCCTCAATTCGCTCACTGCTTTCTTTATTTGTTTTACTGAGGAGATCTTTTTCTCTTTGCAGTTCCTCTTCAGTGTGTGTTAGTGATGTTTTAAGGTTGTTGACTTCATCTTTTAATGACTGGATGTTATTTTGAAGAACCTCCTTATCTTGAGATTTTTCCAGCAGCAATTGTGAAAACATTTCTTCTTTGGCTAGACTTTCATCTTTGGCTTGTTGATGCATTTCAGTTAGTAGAGCTATCTTTTCTGTGAGTCTGCTTACTTCTTGAGCTTTATCAGCCAAAAGATTATTAGCAGTATACAGCTTGGTCATGAGATCTTTAACTCTTTCCTCAGTTTGAAGAAGAAGATCTTCTTTTTCTCGTTTCCTTTCCTTCAGTTTTTCAATTTCTTGATTACATGACTCAATTTGGACTTGTAACCTTGTGGTCTGTTCATTTTTCTTTTGCTCAGCTTCTTCCAGTTGAAGTTTAAGTGCAGATATTTTCTGTTGCAGAACTTCTCTCACCTCTGTCATCTCTTTCTGGAGGTTTCTTACCGCTATATTCTTTGACTCAATCAACTGACCAATTTGGTTCTGTTGTTGCAGTAAAAGTTCCTTCTGGTCAGAAATGTCTTGCTCACGTTCCTTTAGTTGCTGGGTCTTGGCCTGTGCCTCCTCTTCAATTTTCTGAAGAGAATTTGTGGTGTTCTCCAATTCATCAGTTAACAAGCTGATTTTGTTCTCCAGCAATTCTTTCTGCCAATATGACAAAAAAGGATATAGTCAAATAAATGTAACTTTTTTTTTTTTTTTTACACAAATTAACAGATAAATGGTTGTAGTTCATTATCATACCTCCACTGAAACAAACATATTGTCACCTTCCTCTTCTTGTGTGGATCTGCTTATTTTATCTTCTAAACAGGATATCTTTCCTTGAAGGATCTCAATTTGTTCTGCAAGAAGTTCCTGTAAATGCAGGATATTGGCACTTATTTGCCACTTCATCTTGGACTACACAGTCAAAAACCTTTTCCATACCTTTTGTGCCCTTGCTTCATTAAGCTCTGATTGCAAATTGCTTACAGTACTTCTCCACTCAACTTCATTAGAAGTTTGGGTCTCTGTCAGTCTGTCAACTTCCGCCTTAAAAATCGCCAACTGAGAAGACACTGTTGTCATCTAAAAGAAAAACAGATAAGACCAAGTCCCATTCTTAATAACTTTTTTAAGTACTGAACTTTTTAAAGTCGTTGAAACCAGTTACCCGCGAAGACAGCACACCATTTTCTTCAGCTAGTTCATCTACTTTGCGCTCCATCAGTGCAGTATTACCCTTGAGTTCTTTATTCTGCCTCAGTACATCATTAAAGCGTGACTGCAACCTAAACTCATAAAATAGAAAAATTGTTGACTAGTATTGCACATCCATGATGCAACTGAAAATTTATGCAACTTGTAAATTGCAACCCAATTTAGGCAACAGAGCTTACATGTTATTCTTGTTTTCCAGCTCATCAATTTGCTCTCTTGCAGTTTGTTCACAAGCACCTTGGTCCTTCTTTAGTTTATCCAAACAATGCTGCAGCTGATTTATTTGGGATTCTAAAATGAAATAATTCAAAGTTAAAATGTAGAAAAGTTATACTTTAAGAATGCATACTATAACCTACACATTTAGGCTACCTCTTTGTGCCAAAAGTGCCAGTTTGCTGGAGAGTTCCTTTTCCAACCCATCTCTGTAATCCCGGTCTTGTATTAATTGACGTTGCAGCTTCCTCATCTGAAATATGGGTGTGTTTATAATGTCTTGTATAGGTGAACAGCTGTAATGAAAATATAATAATTAGTATGTATATGAAGTGTGACGATTGTTTGAAATGGGTCAAAAGCTTGACAAAAACCTGGCTGAAGACGATGCTACATTTTGCAAGTCCAAAAATTTGACTTTTTGAGAACGACCAAAGAGAGGGGACTCATCCTCATCGTATACTGATGATACACTGGATACTGAAGTGGAGCTTGATTTATCAAAAATATCACGGGACACAGGCAAGTCTAAAAGGAAAACAACTGTCAGTTTAACCTGCAAAGGTTTACAAAAAATTAAAATAAAATTATGTCTTACAACGTCTAGACAGATAGGCATCAAGTCCCGGCCTCAAAGAGACGCTTCCTTCACTCTCCATCACATAAGTAGCAGTTAAGCTTGCTATCTGATTCTAAAAAGTATAACATTTAAATGCTTTTTTTTGTCATTCCAATGACAATAACAAATATTTTATTTACTTAAGAAACAAGATCTACCTCTACGTCACAATCCAGGGTCCTTAGGGTGCAATGGTCATTCATCATGTCATGATAAACGAGCAACAAAAGGACCTAAAATAAAACATAGCATAGCACTTAGGCAAAACAAAAAACAGCAAATATAAATTTCTGACAGAAAAAAAAGATGTATATTCAATTTACCTTTGCAATTTCAATTGTTATGTTGCTGCCATCTTTAATAGCGCTCCATACAATTGGAGTCCCATTTAGTGCATTAAATCTGCAATCTCCTGTGATTAAAAAAAGTTCAAGATCATGAATAATGTGGGGTAGAGTAAAACTTAACTTTTTCTATTCAATTTATATGTTATACTAGACTCAAAATGTTATAATTGGCGACCTTTGAACATACAGTTATTGTTACAATTTATTTACAGCATGTTCAATGCAGTACTAGAGATGGGGCTTCTTTTTACATCTTCCAAAGTAATATTTGTGCAGTTCTTAGGGTAATTGAACATTTCACACCATTTGACTAATAAATGTAAAGATTGACACAGTTAGTGGGATATTCCAGAATATGTGAAGATTAATTTTAGTCAATGTCGCCCGCCCCTAAATGTAAATGCGCAGACCAAAATTACTTACTTTCAATAAAGTCAGAAATAATCTTGAAGCGATCATCAATACAATTTCTCAGGCAGGGTATGGACTCTCTTTTTCTACGAAGACAGAGCCCAAACAGAGCCCCCCCCCCCAAAAAAAAAAACAGATTAGTTTTGACGTGTCTAATTAACAATGAATAAATGAATGCAGCCAAGTGGTTTACTTACAGGAGATAGACCAGTTTGAGTAAGATCTCCCCATTTTGTAAATCTTCAACGTTTATGTCAGTTTCAGCTTCTCCGTCTGTGGTTATTGTAGCTTTGACCTGAATATAACATTGACGAAATGTAAAACTATCGAAACATTTATGTTAGGTTAAATGCTGTGAGGTCTTACCCAGCTAAGGAGAGCTTTAACGCCCAAATTCATTTCGACCTCTCACCCCAATGGACTGCAAAAATGACACAAAAAAAAATTAGACAATTTACTCAACAAAATCTACTGATGCATCACTTCGTACGCTATTAGTGAATCTGCAGGTAAGGATAAAGAGACAGATAGTATTAAAGCTCATATTATCATTTAGCGTTAGTAGTAGTCCCGTATTTTGTGTAAACGCTAGCTAACTGTGAATATAAAAACTGGAACTTTTACCGATAGGCTAATGAGCTACTGTTATTGTTGATAAAATAATAAACTTACCCAAAACAAAGTACTAAGCCACCTTTCCGACCTGTTTCTAATCAAGCAAACAACAAAACGACGTGTAGTCAACGTCCAACTGTGTACATGGAGTGGGCGAATACACCGGGAAAATTCAAAGTTTAACCAACCAATCACATGCGCTTCTTCCACTACTTCTGAAAATGCTTCACGATGATTGATCCCAACGCCGGAAGTCAGTATATTAACGCTAGATATTTATTTTTTTTATTTTTATTTTTTAAAAAGATGGTCTGTCTCTTGTGTGCATGCGCTCAGTAGAGAAATGACGCTAAAGTAAAAGTAAATAATTTAGATTAGGGTTATGGTAACACATTTTTAGTATAATAGTATAGTAACAAACAGCCAATTCCAGCTGCCTCGTTCTGACTGTAAAGTGCATGCAAAGTAATATGGAGTTGAACTTTTTCATTACAATTTCATCTTGAAGACTTTCACAATTTGACTTGTAACAAACTAAGGAAAAAAGGATTCTGCAAACCATCAGAATTCCCCAATTTTGCTTTGAGGCCTATTGGCTTTACCACCCTCTCTGGAGGCTTTCAGAGCAGAGGCGCATTCTTATTAGAGTGCATTAGAATTCCCAAAATACTATTGTAAAGAGTACCCTTGCACAGCATGTATTTTAAGTATTTTAATGAATCAAAAAGGACAACCAAAACATAGATTTTTGGTGCTATAGTATAATACAAACATCAGATTACAGAACTTGTGGCTGAAAATTGTCAACAACCCATTGCAAGAAAATGCAGATTGAAACATTGAACAGTCAGAGATCATCCCTTTAAAGACAACAAGCCACACCATGCTTATTGGTGATGTATAGTAAACCCCTAATCTCAGTATTAAGAGAAAAATTACATTTGAACTCAAATAAATAGTCTCAAAATGATGGTATTATGTTAAAATTGTTCAAAAACACTCAAAAAACACTGCTACAATGGTTAGTTGCCATTCTTATTCAAATTAGAATCTGCAGGAAAACGCTACCAAAAGCAGACCTGATTTAAAATCATTTTCTCACATCTGCTTAGAGTTTACAAAACAGTAACTTTATTACCATCTGTGCATTCGATCATTTTTCTCAGTGAAAAACAAAAGTACAAATAGGGCACACATCAGCTCTCTCTGTACCTCTATAACAAACCTTGTTCTCATATACATGCCCTGAAAGTTTGATGTAGTGACATTTTTGTCTCCTAATTTGATTCAGCAACGTCAAATTGTATGAATCTTCCCTTGTCCCATCAAAGACAGTACAAGAGTAGTCTCAAATACAATTGCAAGACTATTCATGGGTTCCAACTTACTGTTATAGGTGGCATTTTGAAGACTGTCAAAGATATATTTTTGATACATTGTAAATTGCTTTGGCAACAGCCCTTTTACATTCTGAAACCAATGGATGAGTGGAATTACAATTCAACATATGGTCAAGCTGGTTGAATCATTGTTTTTTTGGCTGTAGCACTTTATGGACTTTATGTGTACAGGGGTCCTGACATGGCATAGAATAAGGTGAGAAAACTGAATGTACGGATTTCCACATACTTATATTTAAATGCTATAAAAATCTTCATTAACAGAAAAATATATTTTTCTATCCTCACTGCTTTATGGACACAGCAAGACATTGTTGAAAGTTTTAGTTTAAAGTCCCATTGTTTTTAATTATAAACATGTGAGTCAAACCAGAATGCTTGAATTCTGAGCAGGTGGATAGGAGTGTTAAGCCATCATTATCTTTATGGTACTATTAAGGAAAACAGCACACTACCAAATAGTTTTGGTACTGAAAGTTACTGAAACCTATTAAATAAGTATTTTATTTTAAGTGTTACATTGTAGCTATCATGATGACATTGTCCCACATCATAAATTATGGATACAGGTGTATAATTTATGGTGTATCTCACCATAATCTAGATTTGCAGATGGTTAATGACCAAAGGCATATAAATCATTGTTTAAAAGAAGTAAAAGAGTCAGAACTACAGTGAGTATAATGGAGGGACAATGTGTGAATGAGATCAGGGGATTGCAAACTGGACAACCAATTCCTCTTTAGCATCCACTTTGATTTGAGAGATTGCACTGTAAGCATAAGCGGCTATTTTGGAAACCTGCAAAGAAACAAAATGGTGTATCAACAGTGCAAATTGAAATGTATTAAACAGAACATGATATATATCTAAATACATATGTGTGCATGTGTAATGTGTATTTACCTGCTGAACATCTGAATATGGCACCAGGTCACTTGCAAGCACTTGGTGTGGTTGACTGGTAAGGGAGGGAAGTGTGAGGGCCTTTTTGGGTGGTAAACTGCTGCCCAACACAGCCAATTTTGTGCTACAATATAAAATTGTGAGTTAATTCTTAAATAGAAAATTATAACACAATTATTCAAAATTATTATGCAAAAAAATTGTTTTAAAGTATGTGTACCTGTACTGCCGTGCTCTATCCATGTATTCATGTGGTTCCATCATATGCTGATCAGCTGCTGAGACATCAATGATGTTCCTGAAGGCAAAACAGCTGCTTTGTTTGGGATCATGATATAATTACTGTCACAAAATGAGAGATTTTCCTACTGTGCAGTCTTGGTGAGGATGGAAGTGAGGAGGGCCTGCTCATCTGTACGTGCTGAGGGGACACTTGGTGTGGTCCAGTCTGTTCCATTTGGAGATTTGCTAACAATATTACTTGGTGGTATCAGGTGTTCTTCTTCCTAAAAAGTGTTTAGAAAAATGACAAAAACACATGATTTCAGAACAAGGCCAGAGCTAGAATACTTGAAGTTATAGTACATTGTTGCAGAATACTTATGCAAAGCAGAAGGATACACTAATATGAGGAATTGTTTAGATGACGTCTCTGTTTACCTCAGTCTTTCCCGAGGGTTTTAACGAGCTGATGCTGTAATGTGCAAACGTTTGAAGTGTCCACTATCTTAATGATTACATTTATAAATCACATGCGAATACACTGTACTTACTTGTTAACGTGGATTGTTATGCTATAGCTCTAGCATGATACACGCTAACAGCTAGCTTACCTCCTCTGTGGGCTTGTCTTCGCTGCTGTAGCAGCAACCCATGGCAGCGTCCGAGGGGAAAACTACTACACACACAGAAATAACCCGTGTGTGTGGACCCCAGTAAACATACAACGTGTGAGTAAAATTATTTTAGATTCATGAAAAAGTAATAACTGTCAAAGCAGCTTCTTGGACTACAAGGAAATCACATGACACCAAACACAAGAGCACAACAACCACTTCCGCTTTTGAGAAGAGTCATGTGACAGACGTGTTCTTTTAATATGGAAACAAGCACAGAGTACAGAGAAAGTTTAGGCTCCCATGAAACTGTTCAGTGATCACAGTCCCATAGCATACACGTTTTGCCTATTGAAATATTACTTTCTTGTTGAAACCGAACATATGTCCATTTCATATTTTTTTTTATAATCGAAAGAATATGTGCATGTTGTGCAATATAGATGTAATCTTGTCATATTATAGCTTCTCCCATGCTGCTATGACGAAGGACATTCCCCTCAGTAGACAGTGTTGTATGTAAAGTACATAAAGTGTTGCCCATTGCTCTCAAGACAGAGGTGGGAATGGGGGACGCCTACATAATTTACCCCTTTTTTCCACCACACCTCTTTGTTTACACCTTTACTCAGTTGCTGCAAGGCAGACAGGGGTGCCGATGTTTTCAGGCCCATTGTTCTTTTTGTTTTTAAAGAAAGAATAATGCTTTTATCCTCCTTTAGTTTTTTTATACTACTTGGATTTTCTAATGCTGGCAGTGAGTCTGCAACTCAACATGGACCACAATCACTGGGTTTGGCGTCTTCAGTCCGCTCTGTGTGCAGACCCATCCCGAGCACCCTGGCTCTTTGTCACGGGATCGGCTACAGACAAATGCGCATACCTAACCTTCTCGGCCATGATTCTTTGAGAGAGGCCCAACAACAATCTGCGGCATGGATGCCTCTGATTTCCAAACTTTGTCACAGAGACACCAAGAAGTTTCTGTGCTCCCTGTTCGCCCCCGTGTGTTTGCCAGAGCTCAGCGCACCAGTAAGCCCGTGTCGGAGCCTCTGTGAGGCCGTACGAGATGGTTGTGTGCCTGTTATGAGCGCCTTCGGCTTCCCATGGCCGGAGATGTTTAACTGCACACGGTTTCCACGTGGAACCGAGCTGTGTATCCCAGCCACTGGAGAGGGGGAAACGCGGACAGACGAAGAGCTCAAGAACGAGGAGGCGCTAAAAGGTTTGAATTCTACATGATCTGACACACGAAGTCTACAGCACACCCCAGGGGCGTTACTAGTTCCACTGCACTGTCCAAGATCCTTGGATCTATTAAAACAAGATCAGGTTCACAGGCTTATAGATAAACAACATAAACACAACAAAGGTTAATCAGCACCTAATTAAGTTTGTGTAACCTGTGTAACCGTAATTGTTTTTAATTGGTCTACTTCAGTTCAAGGAGCCTATCTAAACCAATCTCATCTCTTAAATCCAATCTGAAAGTGTTTCACATGAAAGTTAATAGCAATATCAAAGACATTATTGTATAGGCAAATACCACCATACAGAGAAAAAGTAGGCAAAAGAGCATAACTCACATCCTAATGATAACGTTGCATATTTTATATGCAGGAACTGTTATCTGTGATGCCTGTAGCCTTGCTGCAGAAGGAGAAACTGACATCCAGGACAACTTTTGTCAGAGCCCATATGGTGAGTAAGGGCAACTTTAAACTCTTAAATATTTAGGTTTAAACTATGCAGTCTAGCCTTTAGAATCTTTGTCTTTTTCAGCATTTAAGATGCGCCTGGGGAGTGTGTCCACAGTGGGAGGAGACCGCCAGTTGGTGCCTACACCCCGCAGTCGAATCTTGAGATGGGCAGGAGGAGGCGCTGAGAAGGCAGAGGGGATTGGTGGTGCAATGGCTCACAGTGCTTTGTGGCTGCCTGAAGGGGGCAACTGCATTTGTCCTGGTTTGGACTCTTCAGAGATGTCAGGAACAGAACTGGGAGACAATACAGATGGAGGGCAGGTCCATGAAAGTCAAAGTGCTGCGGTTCAGGGGTGGTATCTTGTTCTGGCTAAAGCAGAAGAGGGGAGGTTGGTGATAATCCGCCTGGTGAGGTGGACCAAAGATGACAAAGAGCTAAAGAAGTTTATCAGAGCTCTTCTTAAACAGCAATGTCCAGAGATGAATTTGTAACCATTTTATTTTATTTGTGATTACACAGCAATTCAGCACCATTTGTAACTGCAAACAAAGGTGGGCAGGTAATTGAACTGTGAATGTTGTTTTATTTTTAAGAAATGCTAAATCTGTATATAAACAAAAGTATATTGTTTGAAAAGATGGAAAAAACGCTTACATTTCAAGTAAGGATATACAGCGATTTCGCATGTTTTCTCACACTTAAACCTGAACTCATACATTTAAAGATATGTTTTACACATTTCTGTTGAAATGACATACTATAGGCTGAAGACTATTATTGAGATAATTTTAGTCAGTACCGCCCACCTTTAATTACAGTACTTTAAGTTGTATATTTGATTATTTGCCCTAATACCCACATGAGTACATGGAGTACTCATCTCTGTATTAGGGCAAATAATACATTACTTGTTTTTCTAGTTTGAAATATTGATACTTTGCCTTCATATCTTTTATACCCTACTCTCTATATTTTTACAGCATTACTTTTCATAAACTATGAGTCATTAGTGTTTTATTGTGTTTTCTATTGTGACTAAGGAAGAAACTGGACACTTATTAAACCTCCCAGACAAACACCTGTCTTTGCATCTATATCATGTGTCTTCCTGCGTCTTACCAGACTTACTCAACCTGTTTATTCTGAATATCAGTCTGTATATATTATTCAGCTTGCTAAAAATGTATACATGTGTTTTAACTGTAATTTAATTGCTAAAATTAGGCACATTTAAATTATTGCTTTTTCTGAGGACATTTAACAACATGTGAACCATAAATTATTCATACCCACAGGTCTACTAGTCTTTCTAACAAACACCGCTGTCATTCTGGTCTGCTCCTCGTAGTGCAACTATCTCTTTGCATTGCACTTCCATCCAGTACTTTTTAAAGGTCAGTGGAACTAACTTGAACAAAAGAGTGTTGCTTGAGTTGTTTGTACTTGCTAGGTTTATGCATTATGGAATAATTTACCTACATAGGTTATGAATGTGAGGTTGAAACATTTTCTTTCATTGTGGTTTTAGGATGGTGTCTCCAGCCATTGCACTGGCTTTTCTTCCACTCTTGCTGACACTAATTATCAGATATAGGCACTTCTTTCTGTTGTTTTATCGAGCTATTTTAGTAAGAATTTGGAAAGACATTACTACTGGCTTGAGCAGAGAGGAGCGAGCCTATGAATATGTTTTAACACACGCCACCCCTGGAGACCCTGATAGCATTCTTGATGCCTTTGATACATGGTGCACCAAAGTGGAGTTTATCAGTAACATTGGACCAAAGAAAGGTTAGTAGAAAATCAAAGATTTCTTTTAAATGCCACTTACTGTCTTATTGATAAATTGTTTTACCTTGTGTGTAGGGAAGATTTTAGACCGTCTTTTGGTGGAGCAGAGTCCCCTGACAGTGCTGGAGCTGGGTACACATTGTGGCTACAGCGCAGTGCGGATGGCCAGGTCCCTGCCATTGGGTGGCAGAATTTACAGTGTTGAAATGGATCAACGAAATGCTGCCATTGCAGAGAAAATTATTCGTTTGGCAGGTTTTGATGATGATACAGTTAAGTACCTTTTGTCAGGGATATTTGTATCTATAATTTTATATCTCATTAATGTTTTTCTATTTTCTAAGGTGGAGCTAATTGTGAGTCCTTCTGATGAAGTAATTCCCCGATTGCGGTCTGACTATGGACTGGAAAGACTGGATTTAGTGTTCATGGATCATTGGAAGAGAAGTTACCTCCCAGACCTACAGGTATGGACCACAAATTTTCAGTAACGGTCTAAAAGTAAGAATATGCTGTTAAAATAGTTTCTTATGGTACCGCCTATTTGTTGCAGATGCTTGAGGGATCTGGACTGTTGGGAAAGGGATCAATAATTTTGGCTGACAATGTATTATTTCCAGGAGCACCAAAATTTCTTAGACACATTCGCAAAAGTGGTTTATATGAATGGAAGATTCATAGAGCCATGCTAGAATATAGCAAAGGTATCAGGGATGGGATGGCTGAGTTGATCTATCTTGGAATTAAATAGGCTTGTTTTAATTTTTTCCCCCCAAAATATGTTACCTTTTTAAATGACTAAAAACACAACATGGTATGCAGAAAATGTAATTTATATAGTTACATTTGTAAGGTGGTTTCACATCCCTTTTCTAAACCACTGATAATGTGGTAATTATACGTGATTTGAGTTCTACACATTTTTTTACTCAAATATTGTGGATATTTATCTGGCTATGCAAGGTAAATAGACAATCACCACAAGAGATCAAATGTCATGTTGTAATTGTGATAATTTAATTGCTTATACCTACAAAATAATAATAAAATACACCTGTTTGCATTTGCACCTTTGCTGCCATAAAAAATGTGTAAGTTCTTTATAAGTAACAAATTATTTTGCTGAGTATACTTTTGTTCATGCAAGGTCAGCTGTTCAAAGTGTAAGTAGTGATGCCACATGATCTACAGGCCTGGAGACCACTGTTGCTTCACACTTTTTCAAGAAAGGTTATAAAAATTCCATTCAGTAATTCAGTACAAATGAGCAGATAATTGTCATTGATAAATGAAAGTCTACAGACTTCAAATCATCCATTGGTCTTGATCTTGATCTGGTCCTTCCATATCCACCTAAAAACAGAACAAATTAAGAATGCCAGACATACTAAGACAGTAAAACTAGTAGTACTTTTTTCATCCCTGTAGGAAAATTCTCTTCTGCATTTCACCCACCCTTTCAGAAGCAGCCCAAGGACCTATCTCAGTGATCTTGTTGCTGGTCAGGACTGCCTTAGCTGGAGGATTTAACTTACGGTGCATGTTTTGGGTTGATGGGGGGAACCGGAGTACCCAAAGGAAACCCACCCAGACAAGGGTAGAACAGGCAAACTCCACACAGAAGGGCTCGGGCGACCCGGGGATCGAACCCATCACATTCTTGCTGTGAGGCATGAGTGCTAGCCACTCAGGCAGCGTGACGTACAGATCATAATATTAAACATATTTTAAAACGTGCCACTGTGGCACCTGATATTCCCAGTAGTCTATCTATCCAAGTACTAACCAGGCCCGCCCTTACTTCGCTTCTGAGATCTGACGAGATCTGACAAGATGAAAAATTCCTTGAAGGAATACTAGCAATGATGTACAAAAATAAAAGCACCTCATTAATCTCGCCATCATCAGGTGATTCATTGTAGTCATTCATTTCATCCATGTCTTGCATGTCCTCTTCATCTTCTGAATCTTCCTCACTGTCTTCCTCATCCTCATCGTCCTCTTCTTCTTCATCCTCATAACCTGTCTAGAATGATTGAAGAACAGACAATATACTCATGTTGAATTGGTCTGTTTTTTTTTAAAGTTTATTCTGGCTGTCTTACATCAAAGATTGGTTTCCCAATGGGCATCAGGTTGTTGTCTTTTTCAGCAATGCTCTGCAACTGGTAAAGATGTAATGTTACAGACATAAACAACAAAACAACTAACAACGTGGCAAATTGGCTGTTCAGTTTTAGGTGACAAAATGTCCATAGTCTATTCTAACTCTGTATCTAGATCACTTGTCACAAGAAAGTATCATAACGCAGTCATGACGCAACTAACAACCATGTCACAACCTAGTTATAGCATTCACATCGTGTTTACCCAGGTTTGATGCTGCTGCTCTTGCTGATGCAATTCGGCTTCATCCACGCAGGGCCGGTCCAAATTAAACCAGAGAGCTTCGGTTATTCTTGGAAATAATGACGGGAATAGGGTGGACATGTCTGATACTCAAATAATAAACCCGAAGAAAAGAGGGGCTAATGCTAAGGAAATAATACAAGGGTACCAAGCCCCAAATAAACACTGCCGGCAAGTTTAATTAACAGCATAAGGCTATATTAAATAAACTATTTCCTAATGGGATATTTGTAAACTGTTAGCGTTTTCAAATTCAAAACAACCGATACCGGAAGCACGGGTGTTCGTTCTTAAATAATTCCGGACAGATTTCCTGAAAGGAATAAAAGGTTCCGCGTTCAAGTAAAAAAACAAAAACAAAATATATATAAAATAAATAAACACATAGGGTAATATAATATAATAATAATAATAATAATAATAATAATAATAATAATAATAATAATAATAATAATAATAATAATAATAATAATAATATCATCGTCATCATCATCATCATCATCATCATCATACTTACAAAGGTTCATAAATATTTGGCTTAAAGACAGCAGAGCCAAGCCCAGCCTTGAACATGTTGGCAGCTTATTGAAGGTAAGGCAATGATTCTAGACATAACAGTTTCTAGATCTATCTTTTATACATGCATAATTGGATAATTGGTGATGTTTTTCACTTTACACTAGCAGGTTCTAAACTAAGGTATTGCATCCGTGGTTCCTTGTCTAATCACTTGTTTACAGCACAAAAGGAGATTTTAAATACTGTTTTATGCAACTCACTATCCTAGGTCACCATGACACTATGACATTCTTCAGTGTGTGACTAGCCAAGACCTTGAGATAACACTATTTCAGAATTTCTCAGAGTAATGCAATAAAACATTCTCACACATACTCATACACTTTAGAGTCCTCAGATGATTGCATACTTTGAACTTTGGACACATGAATCTTGAGACAACCTATTTTACCACTTTGTCCCTCACACCAACACTTGTGTGAGTGCAGCTTTTTGTCTGATCTTCAGAACTGTATTTGAGGTACCAAAGGAAACATCAACTTTGAGAAAAGAATCATCAGAAACCAGGTAATTTCTATGACTATAACATTTCAAACATCATTGTAATATAGGTTCTTGCCTAAATAATGATTATCAACTTAATTCATCAAATCAGAATAGTTACAGTCTTTGTTCTTCACTGTACAATTGTTTACTTTCAATGCTGGATTCAGTTGTTTGGTCTGATAACAGTTCCAGACTTAATACTTAGTCTATTTTTTTAATATTAAGTTTTGTTAAGATTAATTTAAATCTTGAATGAAAAATGTTTTATTTCACAAAAATAAAACTTAGACTTTAGTCAGTTTACACAATTACAGTACACTGCTTATTAGAATTATAATGATTTTTCATGATTAATGGGCACCATCAACAGATCAGAACTTTATCTTGATGTGATCCAGATTTTTTTTTTAAATTATGTTGTAAACATTAAATAACGTTTACATTACTTTATTGCTTGTGCTGATACCCTTTCATACTTAAGTTATCTTATATTGAAGGATGTGTCCTTTGATTATTATATGTAACTACAAATATATTACAACTTTAAAAATAAAATTACATATTTTTTATTAAATAATATGCACCTTTCAATCAGCACATACAAACAAAAATTATAAATTTAGAACAACTGGCATCTCAGTAGATGACATATATGTACAATGCAAATACGAGGTCTCACATTTCAATCCACATCCCATTAGTAAAAACAAATAAGCTACAGAAGTTAGTAATCAGGTAATATATGTTTGACCACCTAAGTAACCGCAGGGGCCCATAGTGAACATCTCTAATTTCAAATGGAAAAAAAATGCCCTTCCGATGCGTTTACACCACTATTCACACACTATTAAATTGATTTATTTATGTTTTCCTTTTTCCACAGAATCATGTGGTTGTCTGTGGCTGTGATTTTGGCTCTTTTCAGTGGTACGTTGTCTCTGGAGAAACTATACATGTGTATGGATGCCAAACACCACAAAACTAAACCTGGGCCCGAGGGACAGCTGTACCTTCAGGTATATTTCGCTGTGTATTTGATTTATAATTAGGTTAATGTGGTAAGTTATTATATAACAACTGTTTTCTAGTGCGCACCATGGCGTGATAATGCATGTTGCACTGCTAACACCAGTGCTGAGGCTCACGACGACAACTCCTACCTGTACAACTTTAACTGGAATCACTGTGGCGCTATGAGTCCGCAGTGCAAAAAACATTTCATCCAAGACACTTGCTTCTATGAGTGCTCTCCTCACTTGGGGCCATGGATAGAGGAAGTACGTTATCATGATTTTTGTATATGCGTTTGTTTAACTCTAGATGGCAGTATTAGAGCTTGACACATGCGGCATTATTTTTAGATGGCCCTACAATGATTAACATTTTATTTCTTTTGTGTGTATAGGCAAACCAGAGTTGGCGTAAGGAGCGGATTGTGAATGTGCCCCTGTGTTTAGAGGACTGTCATACTTGGTGGGAAGATTGCAAGAATGATATGACTTGCAAGACTAATTGGCACAAGGGTTGGGACTGGACCACAGGTAATTAAAAATACTCTGTATTTAAGTCATACAGACTTAATTAACAAACGTATTTTTACCGTCTCATACAGGCATCAATAAATGTCCAACAGACTCACAGTGCAGGAAGTGGGTGGATGTCTTCCCAACTCCTAAGGCGATGTGTGAACAGATCTGGTCCAATTCCTACCTTTACACCACTCTCCCCAAAACATCAGGCCGCTGCATGCAGATGTGGTTCACTGGGGAGAATCCAAACAAAAAAGTGGCTGAGTACTACCTCCTTAACAGTGTGGACCAACAGTGCAGCGTTTCCTTCACAGCTCTTCTCATGCTGTGTGTGACATCTCTTTTTTTAGTTGTGTAATGACACCCTTGCTGTGACAAACCTGACATATATTTAATACTTATACTGTAAAGTCCTGTTTTCCTATAATAACCAATGTTGTATGTCTTTTTTTAAATCAAAGTAAAAAGGTAAAAGATTAAATAAAAATATTTCTATAATTGTACTGGCATCTGTGTGCAAATAAGCTATTTCATAGTGGGCCCCTGCATTTTCAGCTCTCTGAGCCTGTAGTGGTTAGAAAGCTCCACTGGAAGCCTAATTATGGGATTCCTCTTTCGTGAGCGCCTATTTGCAGTGCTGGAAAAAAAGAGAAACTGACAAAGTTTGCTAATGCAAGAACCTGCCCTGTATTCCATTATACTCTTGGATTTGCCCTGGCAAATATTTCCACACGTGTTACATATATGATCATGATTTTTTTTTAGAGTGTGATGGTTGAAAAACATTGCTCAGTTCACCTTTTTTAGATCTGCAACTAACCTGTATTGTCACTTATTCTTACTAGACATTGTATACATTGTATGTGATTTATATTCAGTATAAAAAGGGTAGCCTAATTTTATTACCCCTTCTTTCAAAAATCACACTGCATGCTTTTATTTTGACATACAGTGTTACTGACAGATTTGCAGTTGTGATGCCATAGCCAAAAATAACTTTGGGATGGTTGCTGTCCCTGTGGCTATAAATACTTAGCTTTTCAGAGATCATTGACACACCCCTCCTTGACTATTGCTATCTCATGCTTTGTCTAGTTAAGCTAAATGTGTCTGCTCTATTTTGGATAAGAACAATGACCACGATACATGATTAAAACTACTTTTTTCCTCCAAAACCAACATAACTAATTTTTTCTTTTTTCTTTCATTGAGACAAGATTAGAATTACATAATTTTTGAACTATTATCAATAGGTAAACAAGTTTGCTTTATGTTTGTTATAAGCTTGGTTAATCAAACGTAAATAGGCAAAACAGATAAATAGGTCTGCATCTACATCTGATTTATTCATTGTACTGGAGAGTATGAGTGTCAAAGTTTGCCCAAATAAAGCTATAATAGAAAACATAAAGAAAGATAAAGGTTCCTCCAGAGTGCAGCTGCTTTTATTTTGCACGGTAAAAGCGGAAGTCCCGAGCAGCGCACATGGCACCAGTGCGCTTGACGAGGCTCGGTCAGTCCAGTGATTAGCCTGATTTCCGTGGGACAGGGAAGCCCAAAGGGTGGGTAGGGTTTTCAGGAACCCAGGACAGGGCACAAGCAGCGCAACTTTATAAACTAACAGTTGGGGCCAAAGTTTGTAACTACGACACTTTCTCCTAACTTTATTTTCCCTTCCAGTGACCATACAGTCGTGTAGTTTTCCTTTCGACACTGGAGGAGGAGAAAGGCTTGGGAGATTTTTCGGAGAAGTCGGGAGCAACTTGAGTCGAAGCCCGGGCTGAGGGGCTGTGGCCATGGCTGGGAGTGGAGGAGTCGGTGGGCTTTCTCCGATGGGCCCCGCGCCGCCGATGTGGTATCACCGGGACCTGAGTCGAGCCGCGGCCGAGGAGCTGCTGGCCCGCGCCGGGAGAGATGGCAGTTTCCTGGTGCGGGACAGTGAGAGCGTGAGCGGGGCTTACGCCTTGTGTGTGCTGTAAGTAACTTTGGCTCTCAAAAAACTTTATGCGTCTAGCTTGTGTTTCCGGGCTACGTTTTTGCCTCGACGCTCCCAGTACCAAATGTTTTTGTTACAATTAAATGCCCGCTAGGACGTGAAATGTTAAGGCTGAAGGAGGCTTTCCACAAGACCCTGGGCTCTTCTAGCGCTACTGTAATAATCCTGAAACTTACGTGTAAATTTGCTAACATGTAAAATGAATTGCTCCTGTGCTCCTTCATTTTATCAGGACAAACTGAGACTTGAGCACTGTCTTGTGAGACTGTGGCATTGTTTTACTGGGAGGACTGAACAGAAAAAACAGTCAGTCTTGTGGCAGGGCCTTAATGGTAAGATGCTGAACTGTGTTTAAAATGGATACTGTAATGGTGTGGTTAATCAAAGCCATTTGTCTAGAAACTCTAATATGGCTTACCTAAAGTATTTATTGGTTTACCAGCTATGATACACCCATGAGCCCTATATCCAGTTAGTAAACATTGTTATTAGTCTTAACCTGTCCCATAGTTTAATATTTTTGTTCAGCAAAGTGCGCAGATTTAAAGTGGTACAGATTTAAACAATAATTTATGGAGTTAAAGTGTGATAAATTATGTTAATAGACTTACATTTTATGATGCTCTAATATGAACTGTATATGATCTATGACAAAACCCCCAAATAGAACACTACAAATAAATCAAATGACAAATAAAGTTGCTTGTAGCCCCTCTCATGCACAGCCCAAACTGTGTGCAGCAGTCGCAGGAAATAAAAGGCCGGTGATTCAGCACTCTGACATTGACTCGACCTACATCCCCTATGTGTCAGTTGATCCCGTGCCAAGTTCAGTGTGCTTATGTTTACACTCTGTTAGAGTGAGTTTTTCAGACTCCTACAGTGTTGTATAAAAGTCACCAGTAATGTAGAGTTCACTTAGTTACATTTGAAATTACAGTTCTTCATATCACTACATCATCACATCACCCACATAAGGTTCCTGCCTTTTGAGCTTTCCCATATCAGTTCTTCAAATCTGCAAAATAAAACTCTTGGGCTAGTATGACATTAGCTACAATAAACAATAATTGGCATTATTTAGCTGTGTGTTTCATGATTTGGATTACAAATGGTAAATGGTAAATGGTCACATTTTTCTATAGCGCTTTTCCACCTTCAAGGCACTCAAAGCGCTTTACAACAAGGCACCACTCACCCATTCACACATACATTCACACACCAGTGTACGCAGACAAGTTACAAATTGGTATGTTATATATTCTGTGCATCTGAGATCTCAGGTGCACAGCATCACTAGAAGAAGAGTTAATAGTTAATAATTTATTCATTTGTGGCTGTTTCATTTGAGTTTCAAGTTTGTTGCATTAAATGTATTACAGCAGATGCCCTTCCCTGTGAAACCCAAGGCTTTGTTTATCTGGACTTGAGACAGGCAAGTGTACAAATATGTGACCCCCTTGTTAGTGTCAGGACCAAGCAGAGTTGCGTGGGGAGTGATGAAAAATATTCTCAGGATTTTGCGAGCTCATTCATTTATTTGATCACAAGGAAATCACAAGGAAATATTGACTTCTTTGGTTGAATTTACAGAAAGTTAATTAGTTACAAATAGTTTGCATTTAGATTTAAAATTTTGCCCTATGTTTAGGGGTGTGCAATATTGACAATCACATCAGAAAATGTGCCTGCAAATGTCTCGCAGTGCACCAACTGGAACATACAATTAAAAACAAAAGGGCAGGATTATCACATCATACTTTTGTTTTGAAGATTAGGCTAGATGTTTCTGTCTCTTTTTGAGGTTGTTATTTTTTTAATTGTTTTGATTATAAACAATGTACTTTATATTCTCTTTTTCCACATCTCCAAAACATCAATTGCAATGTTATCAATTTTCCAATATATCTCCCACCCTTACCTATCTAACATACTTTTCAACAGACTCAAGAACTTTTAAATTTAGCTCATAAGTAAAAATATATCCAGACTGCTTATTATTACCGCTAGAACAATAAAATTTCATCCTAAACTGATCTAATTGTTGTGGGGGGCTGTCTTTCTCAGAGGTATTGAATTTTCTTGTCAGGAATATGTTGTATCGACTCAACGCGTCTTTACATGTCAGGGATGGCTGTCTGTGTGAGAATTTCAAATCTGAGACGCTGAAAACATTCCTCTTTATAAAACCTTTTTATTTCATAATATCTTTATATTATTACAATAACTCTTTAACACTAGTCTAGTAACGTGCATCTGGGCTCGATTAACAGTATGCTTAGAATCATGAAGAAGAACTTTGAAGTAAAATTATTCTGTTACCAACCAATTTTGTTAGTTAATGTCAGCAACATAGTCCCTAAGCTATTATTAAACATTAGAGATTCAGGATTTGTTAATGTCAGATGCTTATCAATTCTAAAACCAGTATCACAACTAGATACAGTATTAAGGATGTATCTATACTGGGGAAAAAAAAATCACATGACTGCATAAAATTGGACCTTTCCTGAATAGTTCCATCTTGAGTTGTATCAGAACCACATAGTATTATAAACAAATACTACTACTTTGTGTTGTCTATGAAAGAGCTTTGAAAATAATCACAGAAATCAGTATCTAGTACAGAGTTTGAAATTTTATTGTCGTGCCAACACTAGTATGTAAATGATACATGCATGGATTGTGAATGTTTATTCTTTTTTTCTGGACATTTACAACAAAAACAAAAGCAATTATATTTCATGATGTCATTCTCGTCTGTTGTCTTTCACAGTGGAACAATGGAGGTATACAGGCAATAGGCACAGACTTGTCCAAGTTTAATATTTAGTCTGATCAGTTTTAGGAAATACTGGAAGGGAGCAAACCAATCAAGGAGGTTTTGGAAATATGCAACAACCATCCCTGGCTGTTTGTCAATTTGTCCAATCTTATGCCTTCCTTGTGCATGTGCCTGTTATAGTTTTGCTGCTCCTGAAACAATAGTATTTACCTCACAGCCCTGTGGAGAATCTCCGCTCTGAGCCAACAGGAAGACAGACTTCAGCCCTGTTTGCGACTTGGATTTTCCCCCCAAAAGCCCTAGTCTTATCACATTCAATGATTAACCTAGATTACGTGTCAAAAAGGTCAAATAATGGCAAAAGGGGCAAATGCTTTATGTTAAAGGTGCATTATGTAACTTTTCTAGTGAAGGGTTCAGGAATTACCACCTGTCTGTTGCCAATGGAGATGTTCTGGCCACAATGTGGGATTAAACTTGTCCGTCTCCTTGGAGACAATCATGTGATGTTAGCAGTGTACCTTTTATATATAGTTCAAAAGTTGATAACCCAAATACACCTCAGGGCAAATGTGGCATGTGGCACGTCAAAGTAATTATTAGACTTTAATTATAAGCTGTTGCTGATTTTTAATCTTGTTCCACTAGTTTTGCTGCATTTGTCTATTGACCCAATGTAGAAAAACATTCTGCTCTGAATTATTTATATTATAATAGTCTACCCCACA